CACAATGTGTTCCCCATTTTACAGATGTGTTCTTACTCTTGTTTTAATTTTTTTTTCGTTGTTGCTTCCTGTTGTGCCTTTTGGTTAGAGCATTGGACGGTCCGTCCAATCAACAGTTATGCTTAAGAAAAAGAATGCAGTAATCTAGTGGGTATTTTACTAGAGGTTGCACTTATACGGGTTAATATTTTGTTATTAGACAATTCATTCATTTTTAGAGACACAAGGCAATTATACTATAGCCCTTACATCCAAGTAATCAAACAAATAGAGTTTCAACCAAACCAAATAGTCAATTAATCATCTAAATGGCTAAATGTTCAGATGTGTTACTTAGTTTGGCTGTGGCATAGCTACGGCAGCTGCCATACCATGCCACAAGAGAGGGTCCGCCACCGTCGACAGTCCTGACGAACTGGATAAGTTGTGTGTAGGTCGTTCACATGTCGACAATCCTGAAGAACGGGATACGTCGCACGTAGACCGTTCACACATATGTCACGCACGTGCACCATTCTAGGGGAGTCAAGCGAGGTGCGAGGCGAGTGCATGTTTTTCTCTAGTTCTCTCTACCACACATGTCTAAATTAGCTAAAAGAGATCACTCTCTCTTCTCTTTTGAGAATGTATCTCTTTTAGAATAAGTAAGGTAATAATAAAGGTGGGTTTCTGTGATTTTTTATAAAGTTAATTCTTAACACATTTATTAATTTCAACAATAACTCAAGTTAGGTATTTTATGGTATTATAGATCTCTTATTTTTCACGAATAAGCGATCCGATGGGGCCAATAGACTTGTAGAGTGACAATCAAATCCTCTCCATATGCACATGCGCACGTGAGATTCTCACGATTAGAGTTTACATATAGTGATTTTCTTTTCAATGAGATTTTTTTCTTTTCCATAATTGTAAGGCGTTGTGCCTATGCCAAGGCTAAAATATCACACACGTTTTTTGGTTGCCCAACAAGATTTTCTTCCGGAACCGTGTGCGTTGACCTTGAAATTAGCTGCTCGATCAGTCACATCATCATCGATCGATCTAGTCCTAAATTTCACTGTGCGGCTCACAAAAAAGACGAACAAAAAGATCTCACTAGCTTTAGCTAGCGTGTAATTTAGGCATGTGTGGCAGCAGCAAGTGGAATGGGTGACAGTGTCAAGTGGGGGGGGGGGGGGGAGGGGGCGGTGGTCATTAGTAAAGAGATCACACACAGGAAAGTAGGTGATTGATACTTCGACAGCGATAAATCTTGCCAGTCAGCAATATGATATTACTTAGGACTCTCTTTAGGTCTGTTTGAAATTATACAGGAGACCGTTGATATAAACAATTTCTTATAACAGTCTATATTTCGATCATCGATATTATGGTAACCGAGTGGGTACCAACTTGAACAATTCTTGTTATTTTTTATTTTTATAATAAATAGCCGTTTTATCAAGTAGTTCCTAAATGTGGAGTGTCTCGGTAAAGATGATAATGAACTGAGAGACTATCCACGCATATATAAACCTTACTTATACATACATTCTCTACAATATTTTCTTAAATTTTCGTTGAGGGAGAGATTAATTACTTTGGGATGAAACTGTCACTTAACTTAAAAAGGTCTAACAACGTAAACAGAGAAAATGTAAAGCAAATGATGTATTCAGTCAAAGCTAAAACCTGTTTTAAAAGTTGGATGGTTTTCAAGCTTTCCTTAAAACTTAAGGTTCTGAAATAATTTTTTTCCCCTTGCAGATAAGTGCGTGCAAATCAAGCTCAACTCATCATCAACGGGTTACCTTTTCCGGCACGGTCGGCTGCTCATCCAAGCACTAGAAGGTTTCTTCAATTAGGAGTCGCCCAGGTTTTCTGTTCATTTGGACTTATCATCTTATCCTCTTTTTTTTTTCTTCTCATGGTTCCAGAACCTTCCAGCCACGTAGCCTCCAAACAAACAGGACGACTGCTATCTTTCGGCTTGATGCACAATCACATTCTGAGACACTTTCCATTGTCTTCTAGTAGCACTTGGTAGAAGCTGCTCTCTTGTGGGCCATCACACCAATAGATATTTTTTCTTGAGCTAGTGATTCTTGTCAAGCTGGTGTTCCATCCAATTCAATTGATTATTAATTAGCTCATGACTAGTGTGCATTTGGGAAAAGTTGACAGCCAGTTGATAACCAATCAGTTCAATTCCTGGCATGCTAATCCTTCCCAAGAAAATTGACTAATGCCCGACTAGTGCAGTTGCAATTATAAGCATCTTAAAACACAAAAGGCGATCGACAGTGAAATGTAAGATAACAAAATACGTGGAGTACTTATGGGCGGATCCAACATGGGCGCTGGGACTCGAGTTCTCCCTATCGTGTTGGATCCCCATGAAGAAGGTGAGGAGAAACGGAAAAGATGAGGAAGATGGGGGACTGAAAAAAGGATGAAGAGGATGAGTACCCCCTTCATATAGGATCGATCCTGAATCCACTCCCCTATACTTGTGAACATCACTTGCAGATTATTTATCGGATTAGTTACTTCATGCTATGAAAAATGTATTTTCTTCTTGAAAAAGCATTCTTCTACTGCACTGCAAAAACTGTTGTCTTAAGCTATTTATTAAACTTATTTATGAAAATATTAATTTATCTCTATAATCAAGTAGATAATCAATAGCAACAATCTAATTAATAATCCAAATCAAACATGTCTTAGTATGCATCTGCCAAGTAGTCTAGTGCTAAGTTGCTTGAGTGAAGGCTTCTTGTTATTCTTGACATCTCGGCATGTCTTAGCCGGTCTCGGAAATGTTCATGGTGATCTCTCGAGAAAATTGTGAGATGCAATTTTGTGAAGGTTTTGGGTTATCTTCTGGAGTAGAGAAGAACTACCGCTAAAGGGCGCTCACAGATTTCATGGCCATGAGAGGAAGTAAAACTCTCACTTATAGTGCTCCAAATTAGAGTACTAGTGGAGATTGCCCAATTTTCGATATCTTGGGAAAAAGTCTCAGCATCTTGTTTGCTTTTCCTATCTCAATCTCTTTACCTCTCGCATTTTACTTTCATAGATTGAATTAGAATTGAGTAAAACTTCAACTCAGTTGCAAATTTTGGGTCACAATGGTTGTCAAACATAGGAACTTAGGGTAGATATAATCTTCTGTTATTGAGTTCTAATTTGGCCTTGTACTTAGAAAATCCTATTCACCCCGATCCTATACACAGATAGATTTTTTTTCCTACAGATATTTTTTCCGCAACTAGTGATTCTTGTCAAGCCAGTGTTCCATCCAATTCAATTGGTTATTAACTCATGACTAGTGCGTTTGCAAAAGTTGACAGTCAGTTGATAACCAATCAATCCAATTCCCTGCATGCTAATCCTTCCAAAAAAAATTGACTAGTGTAGTTGCAAGTTGCAACTACAAGTATCTTAAAACACAAAAGATGATCGATGGTGAAATGTAGTGAAATAAGTGGAATACTTGTGAAGAAACTTGTGCAGATTATACAGAAACACTTCTGATGTAGTGGAGTTATGGCTGTCCTGGTACCTATAATTACATAAACGCAGAAACATTTTTCATAGGAATTCAGCCTGATTTACTTAACGACTTTAATATCTTTTAAAGTTGTTAAAATCGTGATCCTAAATCGAAAGGTATAAGTAAGATCACAATCATAAAATCGTGTACGTAAAAATCATAAATTCTACCTACATGGTAAAATCATAGAATCAAACACCTTAATTAGAATCGTAAAATTATATAACAGAATCGATATATTTTAACAACCTTAATCTCCTTCGTGCAATTGAAAAAACAAATCTCCTTCTTTGGGCAAATGTGATTACTGACTCAAGTATTATATGGACACTTGGCCTTGCCTATATCTAACGGAATCGGAACTGTTCGCCGCAAACGCGATGAATTGTCGGCACAACACGTGTCTGATGTTTAAGGGGATATTGTAGCAACCGTGACATTTCTATGGAACAGGATGTCGCCGTAAACAAATTAATTAATTAATCCTCCTAATTCCATGTCCAAGTTGTTAAGGCTGTGTTTAGTTCACACCAAAATTGAAAGTTTAGTTGAAATTAGAACGATATGATGAAAAAGTTAGAAGTTTACGTGTGTAGGAAAATTTTGATATGATAAAAAAGTTAGAAGTTTAAAGAAAAAGTCTATAACTAAACACGGACTAGGCGACAGTGACTATTCGCGACGACGGTTGAACAGTCGTTGCAAGAAAAAACAAACGGCCTGCCCTGGTCCTGGTGTTCAGCACAAGTTATCAGATGACGTCCCTGCTGACGTCAATTCGCAGCTGGCTTTGTGCTGGGCCAGGTCTATCTAGCTCCTTTTGTTTACCAGCAGCAAAGTCGCTACATCAATTATTACTAGACGCTATATTAATTAGTGGTATGACTAATAAGCCGTCGAAAAATAAACAAAACGATAAAAGTAATTCGTAGATAAATATTAATCTGTATATTATTGTTGTTTTAAGAGTCAATGCTAGAAAATAAGCCACGGTGAGAAAAAGAATCCCAAAATCAAATGCAAATATCATGATGTTTTGGACTTATGGTAGTGTTTTCTTAAGAGAAATATACATATAATATCAAAGGAAGATTTTAAAAACATATAACTCAAAAGTAAGGTTTTAAGATGTGCTTATCCAAGAGTAGAGACGTATCATACTTTACTACTTTACCATCCGTACCCTTGTGCTTATGATGTTATTGAGTTATTGTGGTAACTTTCTGCGAATTATGATTTCATAGTTGTATTACATGTCATCAGAATTGCTACCAATTGAACAGTGATCATAAAGATGTATAGATGAGGTCAAGAGTAGATTTAATTTAGTTACAGAGGGTCAAGAATCAAGATCACTTCTTTCATTCATTTCAATATAACATTATTAAGAAATGACTAGTGGATAATGTTCCCAAGCATTCGTATCACCAGAGTAAAAGAATATGTAGAAAACGACATGAAACTCGGCGACAAGGTGGAAATTAGGCGTGTTCAATCATCGGAAAAAAATGTCACAATAGAAGGGATTTACGGGTAAAGCCACCAGTGACCAAGAGTCCTGACAGTTTGCTCGTCATTTTCTACAAATCTATTCTTGATCTCAATATGGAGGTACATCTAAAGTCGTATCCGAAAACTTTAACAAGCACTTTACAGATAATCGATGGTATAAAACTTCTGGAGTTAAAACAAAGAGAATGGGGGTTCTCACGCAGACTTGTGAGGAAAAGGGAGCAGTGTCCCTGTTCTTTACCATCAAGCAATGATCCATGGAACAGAGGCTCCTAAATTAGCTGCTTTTGGATTTCAGTGCATTACTGAGCCTGCAGCAAGAATCAAACCAGGCTTTTGTAAGTTAATTCCATCAGATATTCCCATATGCATTCATCAGGGAGGAATTGCAGAATAATGTGTTGTAAAACAGAACTGGAAAAAATGTAACATGGGAGTTCAGTCTAATCATATTCACAGGAAAACAAACCGTCCAGTACTCACGTCACTACAAGAAACAGGATAGTACAGGATTTTACCAGCATAAACATTTTAGCCATTATTTCATTTGTTCCGTAGAGAAAAGAAAATTTCATGTGACTTACCAGTCCAAACCTTCAAAAAGGCCCTCTCCTTTTATGGCAGATGTTTTGAAAATCGCCCATTGACGGCTCTTAATCTTGTGGAGTTCTAATGATTCCGTTATGGCAGCATCATCAAGTGCACCTGGAAGATCCTGCATTCATTGTAGGCATGACAGCACATGAGACATCATATTGGGCGTCTACATTGTTGCCATAGAATAAAGCATCTCCAACTTATTTGTATAGAAAATGCAAGCAACAAAGAATGACAATTGACAAAAAGACATTCACATTTGAAACCTAATGTCCAAGTAACATAATGGAAAATCATAATAAATAGGCTACGTTTGTTTGGTACAGAGAGCGATATATTTTATTAACCAAAAAAAATGCTTAAATAGTGCAAGTTCAGAACAGCTAGAAGTAACTTTTGTTTAAGGACTTAAGATGCCATGGGCTGTCAAAATCCAAGTGAACCACATGCAGAAAAATGTAGCACCGGAGTACGTTTGAAACCAATTTAAGCACACAAAATTAACAACAGTGTATGAGACCCAGAATGGTTTGGTTTTACCTGTTTATTCGCATATACAAGGACAACTGCACCTTTTAGCTCATCCTCCTGCCAGTTGAAGGCAAGCAGCCAATAAGCAAATGCACCTAAATGAAATCAATTCATGTGTACTGCTATAGCCTTAAAATCATTAGGATATTGGATTTATGTCTACACAAGCGTAACACCATGCTAACGAAATGCTGCTAATATTTCTAACCATAAAAAGAATGAAAATAGCAAACTAGATAGGGATCCTGGCCTCCTGTGGTGCATAAACACTGTTAGTGTTCATGAACAAACGAGCATGAGATATTGATTTATCAAATTTATAACAGACCAGTTGTTGGGATCAAAATTAAACTGCAAAAGGAGGCATAGCCTGTGAATCACAAAGCGCCTGAAATCCCCTGACAAGTAAGCAATCCGTTAAATCCTGACAAAAATACATGGATTTTTTATTACCAATTAATGATTTTAAAGAATGAGCAAGCAGCATGCTTCACTAAACTTGCAGTCATAATCACCCTTTGAGAAATATGTGCAAAATCCCATTTGTTTCTTCCATGTAATGGTTACATATGACACAGTAAATATATATACCGAGTCCCTCAAGCACAGGTGGCCCATACCTCAAGGATAGCATGAAACTCTTCTTTTGCCGTTACAAGCCTATCTGTATCACTTGAATCGACAACATAAATGATAGCCTGGGTATTTGGAAAGTAGCATCTCCAGTATGGCCTAAAAAGGTGAATATGTTAATGGCGTAGAGAAACGTGTCATGCCTAGTCTTTAAAAGGAAGGAAGTCAAATAATCTAAGAGAATCCATGCCTAACAAAGGAAACATACTTGAATACAAAAGAGTAACAGAAAGGAATCAGAAGTAGCAAGACATAAGTGAAGGTTGACTATAAAGTTTAAATATTCTTGTGAATCCTGAACTAAACACGTAAGTATAAGGTAAACAATTACAATTTCATTTCAATGAATGGTCGCATTACGCTCATTTGGACACCTATGTACTCCACTGTGCAGATCTATATATGTTTGTTATGGGAAAGGTCAAGTGCTGTAGTATATGGAATATCATAAGCGATAGTATTTAGAAAGCTGTCTTAGCCCCGGGGTAAATGTGTAGCCCCCATTTCTTGTGGTAAGCATCTATGTCCCTTCTCTATACATATCCGGCTGAAGAACAGGATGACCAAGTAAATTTTATATATATCCAGTTGCCTGCCTCTCAAACGCAAAAACTCCATGGAGAATAATTAGATATTTGAAGCCCAAGGAAAAAAACAAACTAGCCATATTTACACCCAATAAAAGTACTCTTACAAAAGCTTGGATTATTTTTTACAACTATGATATTCCCCAAGATCAAACCATATCAAATTAGGGGTTTGCAGTAAAAGCCTATGTCTATAAAAAACCTTATTGCAGTAAAAATCCTAGCTAGCTAGCAGTGCAAAAAACTAGAGAGGAAATATATTTCCAACTTAACCCTTTGAACCCTAAGAAATTTCTAGCTTTAGGATTTTATCAGAACATTTCAAGTAGTATACATGAGTACTATTATTAGCTTGTAGAAACTTAAGTAAGAAGGTTCAACCAGGTCATTGTATTGCACGCGCAATACTTCCATGATTGAAAAGAAAAGGTAGTCTAAATGTAAGAAGGCAGAATGGGTGATCCTTTTCGAGGATGATAAAAATTAAATGGCTACTATATAAAGGCATGAATGACTTGACAGAAAAAACTTTGATTGTGATGACATAGAGATGGTACCTGATGCTTGTTTGACCACCTGTTGAGAAGAAAGTGGTGTTAAAAAAAAATTGGATATTTTAAAGTGAAGGAACATAAAAATATTAGGCAAACAAAGTTTCACTAGCATAGAGAAGCAGAAACTCATCGCAATTTCAGATGTTTGTTTTAAACTATATAAGCATTAAATCACTACAGCTGTATAATGCATTAAATGTGAGTAAATATGCTTGATATGTGAATAACTGCCCAATTAAGCATGCGTTTCCAAGCATAATATTCTTGCAGATTTCAATTAAATGACATGGAAAATGGAATGCAATGTGTAGCTCCCCAGTGTTCCGGTGATTACAAGGTATTGCTACAGTAAATCGTACATGTAATGTTACACGATGGTGGCAATTAAAAAAATATGTTTCTTTACTAACCACAGGAGACAACTAGCTTTGAAATGGTGCAATCAAACGCTAAGCAAATGAATCCATATTTCGAAAACCAGGCCACACTTTTCCGAGATTGGAATATTAGTCAAAGCTATATGAGTTTCGGAGATCGAAATACTAGTCAAAGCTATGTGAGTTCCATAGTTATCAATGTGCTATAAGCTCTAAGCTCTAACGGTTTGGGGGTACAGTAGAATGGCTATTGTTTTTAATACAAACTTTATTTAGCAGTGATAAAAAAATACTCATGGTTTTACTTGCCCACCATACAAGACTCTTGTTATTTCGCAAATGAACATGCTGACTAAAGTCTGATTTGAGCACGTTCTCCTCATTGTTTTCCACTATTTTTTTTATTTCTTCATTTCTACTTCCGCAGGAATTCTACATCATTATTGTTGCTGTGCAAGAATCCAAGTGTTAGTGTATTACTGCATATGAACTTCCCCTTAGGATTGTGAAATGCTAGTGAACCAAATACTTCTTATACTAAGGCTTGGCGATCAGTGCCAAAGCAGATGAGAGGATAGTATTTTAAGAATAACCACATCAGCCTTCAAACATAGGAAAAAACAGGTCACTGAATTGCTTAAGATGCTCAGAATGGTCATTTTTGAACTCTTTGCAGACAAGCCATGAAAGCCATTAGGCAACAACTCATTTACTTCAACACCACATAGAATAAACAGAACCCCATTTTGATTCAATTCAGGAACTCAGCATACAAGTAAAAAAGGTCACGTTATACTAAAATTCCCTCAAAACCTAGGACAGAATCAGAATTGTAATGGTCAAACCCTAGTCAGCTAGGTCTCAACCATTGGTCCACTCAATCATAAATTGTAGTACCCACAATTGGCCTCATGGATATTGTCGTAAATTGTACTTATAAATTGTCTCGCGGAAAAATCTAAACCAGTCCTCGTGAATCAGAGACTTGGGGGCACACTCACCGAGATCCCAGACTTGGAACTTGATGTTGTTGTACTGCACCGTCTCCACGTTGAACCCAATCGCTGCAGCAACGCAACAACAACAAGCACACACGTCACCAAACCCGCGGAGCAAACCGAATGGAAGAAAAAAAATGAGGGAATCGGGAGCGGGGAACCCACTTGGGATCGTGGAGACGACCTCCCCCATCTGCAGCCGATCTGCGAGGAAAAAAAAACACAAGCACCCAGATCAGATCCGAGGTGGAGACGGCGAGATTACATTCGATGGAGTCGGGGGGCGAGGTGGGCTTACATAGGATGGTGGTCTTGCCGGCATTGTCGAGGCCGAGGACGAGGATGCGGGCCTCGCGGTTGCCGAAGACCGACGAGAAGAGCCGCGTGAAGACGATGCCCATGGCGGCGGCGGCGCGGAGGTCACCCCCGCGCGCGCGGCGGAAGGCGGGGGGCTGGGCTAGGGTTTCGGCGGCGGCGGCGGTGGAGATCTGAGACGGGGAGGAGAGGAGGGGGGAGATCTGGGAGTGAGCTGGCGCGCGCGAGTACCCAAGACGACGAAGACGACTCACCGAATGGGGAAGGTGGATGGATGGATTTTTTGTTTGGAGGGGAAAAGGGGAGAAGCGGTTTGGTTTGGTTTGGTGGATTTAGGAGAGATTCCAATTGCAAAGGTTTTTAGGTGGGTTTGTATGGTTTTTCTATTTCCTAAGAAAAAGATTGCAGCTACAAAAGGTTTTTATGTGGGGTTTGTATGGTTTTTTTATTGGGATTATCTAAAAACTACTGTAAGATTTTTTTATGAAAAACTTTCAAATCTAACTATAATATAATTGTAATGTAATTCCACTACAACTATGTATATAAATATTAAAATAATATATATAACTTTATATCTAACTTATATAGAGATTACAGTACAGTACATTGTAACTATATTGTAGTTACACTATAACTATACTATAACTACATTTGAAAGTTTTTTGCAAAAATAACTTGTGACGGTTTTTTAACAATTCCATCCTCTATTTTACCTAAGAAAAAGACATGGTTTCTCTGGGTTGGTTTTAAGTTCAGGTTAGTTGAAGATCAAAATGTAAATGGAAAATTTTAGGATATGGAATAAATACTCCATCCATTGTAGAATACTAGTAATCATGCATATACTAGGCACATTTTCTTTCATGCTCACTGAATTGAGAAACGTTGCAAGGACACGTTTATACTCGCTTAATTCAGGTAGTATATGCCAAGCAAGTTAAAACAGAAATCTGGATTTTACAAGTATATGTCTTTCAAATCCAAATTCAAATAGTTTCTATTCATCATTGTATAATATTCAGGTTCCGTTTGGCACAGCTCTAGCTCCTAACTCCAACTTCCCTAGAGCTGGAGTTGTGCCACACGGTACAAATTCTTCATTTTTTTAGCGGAGTTTGCAGAGTTACTCCCCAAAATTGTACTACGGGGTAGAACTGGGTTTTTCTACTTCACAGCTCCATTTCGTCCCTAATGACCCACTACCCTTTAATTTTTTCATGTATTTATGCGATATGCCACTGAACTACCCCTTCACACCCCCTCTCCTCCCTTTCTCTCTCATCCACATCTTCCTCCCTTGACGGCGGCGGCAGGCGTCGGTGGGGGCGGGTGGCGTGGCGCATGAGAGCAGCAAGGCCACAAGCGATGGCAGCGGCGGCAAGAGGCGCGTGGGTGGCGGCGCAGGGTCAGCATCGGCAAGGCGACACGCGTGCGGTGGCACGTGGGTGGAGCGGCGACTACGGCAGGACAATGCCAACAAGGGACGTGGTGACACAATCTAGCCAAACACTTTCATACCCACCTCAGCTCATATAGGAACCAGTTCTCACTGAAGTTGAAGGTTAGAGTTGAGAGTTGGAGTTTGGAACCCTACCAAACGAGGCAAGAGGAATTTTGTTACAATAATTGATTCACCAAAAAACCATGCTTTTTTTGTTGGCCAACAACATGGTGGGGTACCCAGCAGGTATAAGTAAAATGGCATGTAATTATGTTGAGATTGAGCAGAGGAACAATCAGTGTACATAGATAAAATACAAACTTTAGATGATTTACAAATAGTCAATAAAAGGAAAATGATAGGGAAATGTGCTTCAACAATATGGCATCCTCCATTTGAGTCATTTGCCTTGACTAATGTCATCCTTCAAACCTGTGGTCAGTCGTATCGCCATGCTAATTAGGTTTGCCTCCTATTGAAAAGAAGGAAAACTATAGTACATGCCTAACAACTCAAAGGGGCAAATACGTCTTTTTTACTTTATAGTTAACGGTCAACACACAATCAATAGGCGGAGTCAATAGACGGGAGTGGCATGAGAGGGTGCACAAATTTGGACCGATGGCATGTAGGGGAAGAACCGATTTTCACTGGCATATAAAGGATCAGACAATTCTTAGTGGCATATAAGGGATTATCTCTACATGTTAATATCCAACCATATCCCAAAACCTCCATCTATTTGTTGGTCATGCCTTACCATCAAGGCACTATACTGTTAGCTGAATTTATCAGCTTTGAACTTTTTGCGTTTATTAGCCAATTTCAAATTTCTTTTTTTCTTTTTCTAATGACATTTCGTATATTCGTCAGTCTGATATTCAATGCTACTTGATTTGCGATGCATGTATGCAGCAGTTAGTAATGTCCTGATGAAGCTCGACGCCTATTCAAGAAACCTAATGTTAATTTCCATGTTCCTGTGCGGCAACTGCAATGGACTAAACATGATAAAGCGGTACACCTACAGATCGGACCTTGCTTACTTGCCATTAAACCACATCCATCCATCGTGAATGTATCCAATTGATTCTGGCCGTTTTCCAGAGACTTATTTTGCTCCTGCTAAAAGAAAATGGTTTAAGTGAACATCGGGTGACCAATGTATGAGTATTTTTTTGGTTGTAATGTTCAGTTCAACCATTATTTTCTAGTTTTTTTCTCAAACATACAGGAGGAGAGCTGTGTATTTTCTTTATAGTAAAGAGAGAAGAGAATAAAACTCTTCTCATGTTTTGATTTTTGTTGTGTAGGCCATACAGATGATCAAATCTAGCATGTGCATCTTTAATGGAGTGCTTGTGCAGATATTTTACTTGTCGAAATTGATCCTATTGTACTAACTTTTGACCTCATTGTCGAAATTGATCCTATTTACTAACTTTTGACCTCATGTGACCAGAATGACCGTTGACAAAATGTCATCTCACCCACCATGCTTATATAGTTATATTTATGGTTTAGCCTTATCTGTAGTCATCAAATATTCAAATATATAGTCAGTATATAAATAGATGCATGCCAAGTAACATTTGGTCTAGTGCTGTAATATGTGTTATTGAAATAACAAGTTTATGGCCTTCTACGGCATGTTTTCCCCGTCAAGACTGATAATGTATTTCATGTTAAATCATATATGTTGAACTGCACTATAGTTTAATACTTTGTTTTCTATATCAGTGCTTAAGCTCACGATTCCTATTGTCATACAAATGCAGAAAGCCTCGGAGAAAGATACAGAGACAGCTTCGAAAAAGGAAACTAAGAAATAAGTCTAAAGGTGTCATGTGCATTTTAACGGTTTGCCAACAGTAATTCCATTAGCATTAGAACTTGTATTCCTTCTCTTTTCCTAATCTTCTACCCAACAAATTAAAATCAAACATACTTATATTTCAATTAAAAAGAGGCACTAAATTAGTTTCATTACATCTAACATTGAATATATTTTGATAGTTTTTTGTGTTAAAAATATTATTATATTTTTCTATGAATCTAGTCAAACGTAAAGAAGTTTGACTTAAAATCAATATGACTTATAATATAAAATATACCCTCTTTGTCCCCACAAATAAATTAAACCTTAGGTTGCCAATTGGAATTAAGGAAGAAGATAATGAGCCAAAATGTCTCTAATTAATAGAAAAGTTACATTGGTGGTGAATAGGTAGTTGAGGGGTATTGATGGAATAAAATTTTTTGATTTGCGGACCGATGGTAGAAAAGTTACATTGGTGGTGAATAGGTAGTTGAGGGGTATTGATGGAATAAAATTTTTTGATTTGCGGACCGATGGTAGATAAGAAGGTAACTGTTGATTTATTTTAGGACAAATTCAAATTAAGTTGATTTATTTTTGGACGGATGGAGTAGTAGTAATTTTGTAGTTATTGATTATGTTGGTTTTTTAACGTAGTTTATCTTACAACATTTGCTTTTGAATCACTAAGGATATGTCTATAAAAGTTTTACTTATAAATTAATTTTAATCAGTAATAAACGGTTCGGAAAATGAAGGTAATTTTCGGTGATCATTAGTATTTTGACACATTTGTAACCAAAATTAATAAGATCTTAACCATTTTCACTATCAAACTAATATGTTATTTTTTTTGTTTCTTTACCATTCAATATCTTATTATATATTTAGAAGTTAAATTATTTAATGGATATCACAAAAAGCTCAATACTTAACTATCTAATGAATAAAGGAATTTTTTTAATTGTGTGCTAGTTATTGTCTCTCATTGTAGCTCATCGTGGTACTTAGTATGGCTTGCCCTAAGTGACGCACCACAATCCATTTATAAGACTATTTTTAGAGTTGTTCTTTTTGCCAAATGGCATATAATCTAACCGATGCAACCAAATATCTTCTTGTGTGCATAAAAAAGATATAACAAATAACATAATTAGGTATATGGAATTCCTGAGTCAACAAATAGATTGTTTGAAAGTGCATCTAGACCCCCTAGCTAAATTTTGGCTAATTAATGACAAATGAATAATGTAATAATGTCTTTAATGAGTGATACGGAGGCATTAAGTCCTTTGAAGTGGAAAAGTGAGCCAAAACAACACTCAAAGCAAATGAGTTGAAGCGAAAGTTAATTGGGCAAAGTTTGGAAGATAGAAGATCAATTTGCCCCAAAGTTATAATGGATTGGACAATCATGTGCGGTATAGGAAAATTCGGGTCTAACATGGACCGGACAATCTAGGTGGAGTCGGAAAAATCTAGTGAAGATGATCACGAGAAACTAAGTGAACTAGATTGTTTGGGAACTTTCGGATAATCATGGTCGAACAGTCCGATGCGGTACCGGACTATCTAACACGCTCTGGACGTGGCTAGATGATTGTTCATCAGATGTTGAAGAAGCAGTGGAGTAGACAATATGGTACTATACCGGAGTGTTTGGGAGAAGCAATGTTGAACAATCCTACAGCTATCGGATCGTCCACCTCTTTATGGCCCAATGGCTTGTAGTTCAATGAATGTTGGAAAAGCATAAAGTGTTGGACAATCTGGATCCTATACAAATTTTGGCAGACTCTATCAACGGTAATAAACAACTAGTTGAAGGAGTTGGGGCTATAAATGGGTGGTGCTATGGACTCATTTAGAGACTTTTGGACCCCTCTTCACCCTTAGAAAGCCAAACAAGTGTCCAAACGGCTAGGAGTCAACCTCGAGACACCGATTTGTTCGTGGTGTGCTGAGGGAGTATGTGAAGGTCAGATCTCACCTCTAAAAGGGAAGAGATACCCTTAGTGGAAGGAGTGTATTTGTGCAATCTCACAAGGATAGGGTTGGAAAAGACCCGACGGAGAGTAGAATCCCCTCAAGGATTTGAACTTTAGGAACACATTATCTCATAAGAATCCCGATGATATCTCTCTCACTCATCTAGTTTTGCTATTTGGTGTTGCTAATAGTTTAGTTGCTATTTGTGCAATTCTTTCCCTAATTATGCCGAACCCCTTTTTGCTTGACTTGCTAGTTTGCTTGTAAATATGAGTTTTTCTAAAATATCCAAAAATATTTTAGAAATATCTGAAAATACTAGGAAGTATCCAAAACGTTCAGCTTCCGCATTTTCTTAAAAGTTTTAGATGCCTGTTCACCCCCTCTGTAACATCAAGGTCGTTTCCTCAGGACACAAAACTAGAGTATTCTCTTCGAGCCAGCATCAATTTCAGACTACGACAATTTTCTTGCTAACCATTTGCAATATTCCCTACTAAGAAAAATATTCCCCATCACCTTCACTGGTCACTGTTTCTATCACAAGAAAAAGAACAAGAAAAGAAAAAAAAACACAAGAATATACTACTAAAACAAGTCTAGGGAGGTCCAACAACCAAGTCCAAACCGATCAAACATCCGACGAAAAAACACACGAAAATCCAAAATTAACAATAGAAAAAATCCTCCTCCTTAAACCCCCTTAAACCCTAGCTCCCGCCGCTCCGCACAGTAAGCTCACTTCTCCTCCTCCTCCCCCATCCATGGCGGCCGCCCGCGCCACCCTCCCGCTCCCGCGTGTCCCCGCCCCCTCGCCGAGGCCCCAGCTCAGGCCCTTCCCCTCCCTCCCCGCTCGCCGCGGCGCGGTGGCATGCGGCGCCGGCTCGGCGGCGGCGGGGGTCGCGGCGTCGCTGCGGCTCGGGGACGTGATCGAGGCGCAGCAGTTCGACCGGGACGCGCTGACGGAGATCTTCGAGGTGGCGCGGGAGATGGAGGCCCTGGAGCGCGGGTCCTCCTCCCGCGGCGCCGGGAGGAGCCGCGTCCTCGAGGGGTACCTCATGGCCACGCTCTTCTATGAGCCGTCCACGCGCACGCGCCTCTCCTTCGAGGCCGCCATGCGGCGGCTCGGCGGGGAGGTGCTCACCACCGAGAACGCCCGCGAGTTCTCCTCCGCCGCCAAGGGCGAGACCCTGGAAGGTGAGTTCCTGGGTTCAGTGCGTTGAGTGATGTAGTGACTGAACCTTTGGTTGGAGCGGCAAATTTCGAAGTATTGGGATGAAATTGGAGTGGTTTTGTGAGTTGTCGATAGTGAACAGGTGAGGAAATGCTCATTCTGTGCCTTCTGGGTACATGTTGGTTTTGCATTGTCGGAATTGGTAGATCTTGATTTGTCTCTCGTTGTGCAAATGGCCGCGAAACGGAGTTGAAAATTATGGGAGAGTTTGAAATGGTTTTGGATCAACTGTGGTATGGAGTGATGTGGATTAGTCAAGTTTATTTGGAGCGGAGTGGGATGACATGGAGTGTCAACTAGAAATTTGGTATTGTTTGGAACAGTTTTAGTCTTGTCGTATTATAGGATGTCATGGAAACAAATGCTAGGAATAACTAGTTGTACAGTGAACTCTTTGGATAGTTTCGGCGTGCTCGATGACATTTCAGTTGGATATTTTTGCTTGAATCTGCGAGATAGAAAATTTCAAGGGTAGTTCTTGACTTTCATTGTGGAGCGAACATGAGTTTTCTGTCATTTGCGCTAAGGGCATCAAAGAATGGTGAGATATCTAGGATAGGTTGATTCATGGGATGTTGGTGTTCATCACATTTTTTTTTGTTTTAGAATCACGGTGGTATCTTCAATGCCTTGGAGTTGTGATGTCGAATGCCAAAAGAAATTATCTTGAAATGTGTTGTTGGGATTAATGATACTAGTTCAAGTACCAGGGCGCTGGTATTGCTGCCAGTTGGCTACTATGTTTGTATAGTTGCATCAGTAGTTATTCCTTCGAGGAAGATAGGGAGGATCTAAGGACATCAGTTTGCATCATTTGTGGTAAACCACGAATAGTACAAATATAAAAGGTTTACCCATAAATTATTTTTGTTGTCCTAAATGTTTTGATTGTGATGTTGGGTGGCATACTTGCATTTAGGACCTATATATTCAATTAATATGTTATATTAGTATTGTGTGGGAATATAAATTCCCGGAATAATCTCACTATTTAATCTGGATCTGACAGTTGACTGGTGCTTACCTCACAAAACAGATCTAAAACTAACATTTTCAAGTAAAAATAAATCCCTCTGAATCAAAATATATAAGTTTCTTTTAGCCTTCTCAACATTTTTAAAATGTTACTGTAGAATTACAAGGAACTTTTGTTTCTTTTTCTTTGTATGTTTCCCTTGCTAAATGAATGTACTCGTGAACAAATATTCATTCTCTCCTATGTGGGTATAAATGAAGGACCGCAAATCATTTGTCTATTTTGTTTATTTTTATGCATGTCTGATATGACTTATTTTTTGGACCAGAGGATGTAGGTTGTTAACCATGTGTATCCATGCTGCAGATACCATAAGGACTGTTGAGGGTTATTCTGATATTATTGTTCTGAGACATTTTGAAAGTGGGGCTGCAAGGAGAGCAGCCGCCACTGCAGACATTCCAGTTATTAATGCAGGCGATGGGCCAGGGCAACATCCAACTCAGGTAATTGTTCTGCCCCTGACTCCTTTTGAACTCTCTTGTTTTTACCAATAAACAGTGTCATCATGCTTGGATTCCTGGAAAAGGACAGTTTTAGGCAGGTGATTGCTGTTTTCTTAAGGAGCTAAAAATGCATTTTAACGAATGATGTTCTGACCAGACTCTGGATGGATCATTCAATAGAAATTGCAGTTTTGTTGCCAATGTACGGTGTTGATCAGAATCACATATTACCGGCTGATAAAATAGACTGTATAGTGATGTGGATGCAGATTTCATTTTATTATTAAGCTTTCTCTGGAGCATTTATAGTTAATTCATGACACTGAATACTCCATAGTAACAACACCTGTAAAATTATCAGTGCTCCTCTTGGGGATATACAACATTTTTGTTGTATTGCTAGTGAATAGGATGAAATGAATGGGTGTCAGTGAATCAGTGTTTCTAGCTAGTCTGGTATTCCTTTAGGCAAGTAAGAATGTTGCAGCTTTATAAACACATTTTCAGCTTAATACTTGTGGCAGCTTTATAGGTTTGTCCACTGTATCTCTTTATCTCTGCCATCATGTTGATAACTAAAATCAGTTTGGAATCTAGTTTCTGTTCTTACATCCTGAATCCTGATGCAGTATGATTTATGTACTATTTTATTTGTAATTGATAATTTTGTTCTTTTGTTCAGGCTTTATTGGATGTCTATTCAATAGAGAGAGAAATTGGCACACTAGATGGAATAAAACTTGGTTTGGTTGGAGACCTTGCTAATGGAAGAACTGTTCGTTCTCTAGCCTATTTGATTGCCAAATACCAAAACATTAAGATATACTTTGTATCTCCAGATGTTGTAAAAATGAAGGTATTACTCGTCCTATCAAATGTTAACTGCATTCCGCTCTTTTGATGTCTGTTATGGCCCAGATAGAACAGATTGGATGATGATTTTTTTCTTCTGTCCCATAGGATGACATCAAGGAATACTTAACTTCTCAAGGTGTTGAGTGGGAAGAAAGTTCAGATTTGTTGGAGGTGGCATCAAAATGCGATGTTATTTATCAAACACGCATTCAAAAAGAAAGATTCGGTGAGAGGATAGATCTTTATGAAGCAGCTCGTGGTAAGTACATTGTGGACAAGAAGGTCTTAGATGTGCTGCCAAAACATGCTGTTATCATGCATCCCCTTCCAAGGCTTGATGAGGTTAGCAATTATCCTTTTAAATAAAATCATCTAACAGTATTCATTTATCAGTGTTTTACATTCAATAGTGTCCCAGATGAGATATTATTGGTTATATTTAGCATTAGTAAAATTGTTTTATATTGCCAAAAAAAGGCAGGATATAGTTTCTGTTACATTTGCATATCATAATATCCAATATGAGCTTTCAAGTTTCAAAGCCTTAATAGTAAATATGTCTGTGAATGGATGCACCAAAGTGATATGTTTTTACTAGTTACTTAGTAGTTGCTGTGTCCCAAATGATATGGCTTGGTGCAGGCAGATGCTGAGCACCGCTTTTCATTTAGTATGTAAGCGTGCTGTTTCAGTCAGCTATGTGAAAAGTCAATTGTGAACTTGGGAAATGGGAACTCCTTACCAAAAGTGTGTCTAGAATAGGTGAGAGTTAACCCAAGTCAACTGTCAGCTATGAGAAAAGTCATCAATGAAATAACAGAGGATGTATTTATCTAGAATAGATGAGAATTGCCCAGGGCATAGCTTGATGCCTTGATGAAACAATTGTTGTCATTTACACATCTGGGAACTAGCACTAGCAGTCAGCATGCTTTCCTAGGCCTTATGGCGGCCCAAGATCTAATCACATTCAAAATTTTCTGTTTTGCAGATCACAATAGATGTTGACAGTGATCCGAGAGCTGCATATTTTAGACAGGCCAAAAACGGCCTCTACATCAGAATGGCGTTGCTCAAACTTCTGCTTGTTGGTCGCTGACAGCTTTCTTAGTGCGTGGCGCTGTGGTGTTGATGGGGGTCAAAAAATGTTTGTCTTAATCAATGGCTCCAAATCAACTGATTAGTATTGTACTAGGCACCATAAGTTAGATCCTTGCAAGGATTTAACCATGTCTAGAACTCTAGATGCATAATTTTCGATGTAACAAAATATTCTGAAACAGAGATTTGTTGCTCTCATATGTTCTTGTGAATCATTATCACCGAGGACTGCACTAATTTTCCTACAGTGTTGTTGCAAGGACTGCAGTGATTTACCGAGTAGCTCTTTCTGCCCTCTTTTGTTGACCAAGGACAAAGAACTCAATGTAACTGGCTGGCTATCAGTACCAGACGAGCTCTGGTATTTTCCCCATATCCTGTTTTAACCCTAGGCGCTGACACGTTGATTGTTTTTCTCTTGTCATGTGTAGGTATATGATCTATTGATCTATATGATTGGCACTTGCCAAGGAATAGCATGGTTGTCACCTTTCAGAGTATGACAGATTCCTGACTGAAGCATAATCCCATTGGCATCGCTTTCTGCAATTCCAAGTTTCCATATCATGACTGCAGGTGAAAATGACTATCATGACTTCCAGGGGTGACACATTCAGGGTTTGTGATGTATACTGGTAAATTGTCATGAGAGAGAGGTGATGGTGAGCCCACACCAGCAATCTCAAATGGTTGGCCAGACAGAAGAAGGTTTCAAAGCCCTTCATGTCAGCAATATGACACAATGCATAACCGGCCGGCTCACACATTTCATGCCTTGGGACCCCGGTACGGCTTCAAGATGTTGACCTAGAACCTGCTGCATTCTAAAGCCTCTGAGAAGTGAATTAGTTAGCTTGATTAATTGGCTTGAATTCAGCATCACTCTCACTCTCATGATGTGTAGTGTTGGCATCTCCGAATCAAAACCATGGTAATTTGCAGTCAATTAGGGTCCACAGACAGTGACTGGTCCGATACATGACAGTGGAAATATACATGGCTGATTGGCAACATTCCCTGACCATCTTGTTCTAATTAGATTAACATTGTGTTTAGGCTCAAGAGAAGCTTCTTTCTCAGTCATGAGTTGCGTCAGAGTTTCATGATTGTAACACCAGGGAATATTGTCGCAGAGGCCATGCATGAAAGTGACTATTGTGAGGATATAAAGTCCTTTTTCTTCTTCCAGTGAAAGCCACCTTGCATTTTTATCTGAGCTCATCAGTCCTATCTGATCTTTGACAGAATGGTGCCAAGATTACATCATCTCTTGGACCTGGTATATATATTTTTTACCATACCTTTTTATTTATCCCTTGCTACAAATTTCTTACAACAAACTCCTTACAGTTTGGTTTTAGGTGTCACTGATCAAAGAACACAAAGGCTAGACAATCCCTATTTATATTATTATTATTATTACCTCCCTAATTAACATCCTTATCAAACCTCTTCACAATTTTCAGATGTCATAAACTGTTGCATAATCCTGGAAGATGGAGCTGGTTTCAGGGGTGAAATCCCAGCAAGTCACAGGTGACTGCTTTCCCTGATCATAGCTCCACCAGTCCACATCCCCCTGCGGCGGCGCGCCGCCGTCGACGATCGCGCCGCCGCCGGCGTAGAGAAGCTCCTGGAGCTCGGCCTCGATGGCGACGACGACGTTGGAGTTCTCGCCGCCGCTCGACGGCGACGCCTGCTGCATGGCGGCGGCGCCGGCGCCGCTCTCCAGCTGCTGCCCATCGAGGCGGTGGTGGTCGCTCACAGAGCTTGACATTCCATGTTCAGCCACAGTGACATTGTTGTGATTCTGATCATCAATGGTGGCCTTGCTTGGCCACTGATGAGAGAGCAAGGGGTTGTGGTGGATGGACAGTGGGTTCTGCAGCTCCTGCAGCTGCATGCAGAGCTGGATCCTCTCCATCGCCGACGCGCTCAGCGACCGCTCTCCGCCGCCGCCGCCGCCGTCGTTCATGCCGCCGTCACCACCGGCCGGAAGATCGTCGGCGGTGCTCTGGCTGCGGTGGTGGTGGCCGCCGCCGCGGTCCTTGCGCCGGCCAAGGAGTCTCTTCTTCAGCTTTGTGTTCCAGTAGTTCTTGACATCGTTGTCCGTCCTCCCTGGCAGCTGTGCTGCTATGATTGACCACCTGTGGTTAATTATGTCAAGTTTAGTGTGATTATGATGATTGATTGATAGTTAGTGAGAAGGGAGAGTGGTTAGTGGTGTAATTATGTACCTGCTCCCTATGCTAATGTAGAGGCTGCAGATGATGCTGTCCTCCTCTGGGGTGAAGTCCCCATGCTTTATGTTTGGCCTCAGGTAATTCAGCCACCTTAGCCTGCAGCTCTTGCCACACCTCTTCAGCCCTGCAACATTACACACATAAACTAAATTAACTACACATGAACACACAAAACCAGAAGATACATTTGAAAACATTTCTAGAAAGAAAAACAGTCACATGAAAAGCTTGATGATGAGCACAATTTGCACAGATGACAATCTTAGCATGTCTGAAAATTTATAATCTCTTCTGAAACTATCAGTGATAAGTAAAAATGGTAATAATTGCTACCAATCTTGTGAGGCAGTGCAATCCAGTTGCCACCGGTGCCATGCTCCTCAATGTAGTTCTTGAGCATTGCATCCTCCTCAGGTGACCATGGCCCCTTCTTCACTGTTGCCTTGTCACAGCAAGGTGCCCTCCCCATCTCTCTCAGTCTCTCTCAGAACCTCTTATCTCTTTCTGCTTCTTCTCTCTGAATGTAGTAGTATCACCTTAGCTTGAAGCTGCTATGGATGTGTGTATGGAATGTGATGAGATGAGTTGTGATGGGTTTGGTCATGGTGCTGGGATTTATAGGAGCAGATGAAGAGTGCATTAAAATAGTACGGATATGGTTTGACCTTTGATTGCTGATGCTGCTGAAAGAGCATGACACACATACCGGCTCTTGTTCTGGTCTATTGGTACTTTGGAGATGCATGCATGGCCTTTTTGTTTCTGCATTGCATGAATGCATGCAGAAAGGTGCATGGAATGATTTGTTGTGCTTTTTGCTAAACTTCTGTGTCATCCATGCATATATATGTCCTCTTTTTTGTTCTCTGGGACATGGATTTCTGTCTCCTAACTGTTCTCTGCAAAATAATCATTGTTTTGGGTTATCTTTGTTATAGATAATCTACATTAACTAATTAGTTTGATTTAAAGATTATAATTTTTGGTGCTATTACACAGCTTAATTTCGGGAAATTGTGAATTTTATGGCAAAGTGGTTGATTATAGCAAAATTAGTTATTTCGACGGTAAGTACGGTGTAATTTGCCTCAAATTCAATGGATGTGGTCTTGGTCCTTTCCTGTACAAACAAGTCTATGAGTACATGAAACAGTAGTGTCCCAGTCTGTTAGGGGTAAAATCACCAACCTTACTCCTGTAGCGTTGTCGAAGTACAATTGAATCGTCTTGTTTTCTTGAGTTTTTAAGTTGAACTGGTTGATGCATGCGACTCAATAAATCTAAACGGTGGATGCGAGAAAATGCATTCAAAATGGCACTATATATTTAGAGCTACATGTGGGTTTAGGAGAGATTAGGAGTGCACAGATCACGAAGAACAGTAAGTACTCTGAACTCTGCGTAGGTTTATGGGTATCGCAGAAAGATGAACTTATGCTCTCAAGTCAAGAACTCTAGCTTCAGGCAGGTCATGTGGCAGATGAAGCTAGTGTTACCACCTGTACATTGCAAACCAACTGCCATGAACATAGTTAAATTCAGTTAGGATTTAGAGCCTAGATGGTTAGAAGAAATGAAGCCTTTACTGAATCATTGAAACGTGCCAAAGGATAAGCATGGAATGCAGTCTTCTTGTTTCCTTCTTGTCTCCATGCATCCCTTAGGATCACACCGCATTGAGATAAGCAACATTGATTGATCTTGATATTCTATTAATTTTTTAATTATAATAATGTAGTAGTAATAATAGTATGGAATATAATGTGAAGCTGCTGGAAGCCTGAAATTAGTGTAACTCCAACTCTGAATTTTGGCATCATAAACAGGGCAATAGTGGAACTAGAAGAATTACTATCAGACTTTCAGTTAGGGTTTCTCGTAATAAGCAGTAAACAGGCCATCACATCCAAATGGATTCCCATTTCTGAAATCAAATAGTTTGTGCTATTTTAAAGTATGATAGTTATTCAAAAACTGTTTTTTGTGATATTAGCAAGAACCTCTTGCAGCTTTCACAATGAACTGTGCACATGAAGTATCATACCAAGTACTGCAATAAAGCTGAATACGCCAAAAAAAAAAATCGGCATACGAAAAAATTCCTCCTTTTCTCAAAGAAATAGAGAGAACAAACGTCACCAATAATGTAGTTACCAGTACTTTGACAACAAGTGTACTCTACAATGCAGCGTACATATAGATCAAGATTCACAGCATGGGTATGCATGACCAGTCCAAGTCCTGCATTTTCAGTTATTGCTGTACCCTTCTCTCAAGTCAAGAACTCTAACTCAAGGCTGGGCCATGATAGAAAAAAAAAATGTTCATAGCTAGATGGAATACCAAACCATGCTGTTTGTAAGTAACTCTCTTTGTAGGGACCCCTATTGCTGGCTAGGCTGACCTGCCAAAAGTCCATGGGCAGTTACAACTGACAATGCAGCAGCATCCTCCAATGGTGTCATCATTTTTGACCCTCAAGACTGGTTCCTACAAGTTCAGTTATTCTATACTTAAGAGCAAATGTTAAGTTCCTTCTTTTGTCTTGTCATTTCTTTTGTGTGCAATCATGGTTAATATGATATTGGAGGTAATATGATACTGCCTCTATTCGTAAATACATGTCGCCACTCATATTAAAACAAAATTATAAACACTTTTTTTATTTTTTAGATAATGGCATTTTTTACTCGGCCTCTACATCCTATCGGATATACAAAATCATTTAAATTGAGAATTTAGCTCCACAAACAATCCAATCTGAAATTCACTCCTATGGAGATTTGAACTCGGACATTTGGGTGCTATTCTAGTCACTGCAACCACTAGGCTACATGCCCTTTCGCTATTAGCTATTTAAAAAATTGAAATGAGACCATATTATTGAACTTGCCACATCTTAATATAAACACTAAGATATTGTTTATTGTAGGCTAACCATTTAAAAATTATTAGCCGTCAAAGTTCAAACAGTGCTAGTCAACGGTGACATGTATTTTTTTTTCGGGAATACGAAAAAGGATTGCGCACTTTTGTATTAAGAGGAATAAATTTACACAAAAGGCAAAACAAAGAAAAGAAGGGGGGTTTGGGAAGAAAAGGAGGAAAAAGTGGAAAACAAGGACTTAAGCCTATTCTCGCAATTACAATGTGATGACCAAACGACCTAGCACGCTAAGAAGGAAGCGTTGGCGACAGGCAATGGGCAAGATACCAAAGGGCGGCCTCTTGCGCCATGCCTACGATCACCTCGGACCAGGGTCGAGAACAGTTGTTGAATACGCGGTTGTCCCGTTCCTTCCAAATGGACCACGCGCCAAGGGTCACGATAGTGTCGAATCCACGACGATGCTCCCTCCCAACTTTGAGCCGGCAGGGGTGACATGTATTTGAGAACGGAGAAACATTGGGCTTGCCTTATGTTCTGTGGTTGTGTGTACTCTTTTTATCAGCATATCCAGATATCATACAATGCACGCCGTGTTGAACAGTGCTGTATGCGCATTGTGCAATGAGGATCAAGTAGGTCTTTTGTTTGGAGCATGGACCTTTGTGTTTTCATATTACTAGATTATTGACTCTTTTCTTGTTTATGTTCTCCCTTTTTGTTAGAGAGTAAAGTGACACTGCATTTTGGGGTGGTTGGTTTTAGATTGATTGCTATTGAATTGTGATCAGCCGCAATTTGGATAAAAATATGGTACTAATGAGACCCATCTTGTGTAGTTTTGTGATAATATAAGATGAACATTATGGTAAAAAGAGGTAGTTTGATATGCATTGAAGAACAACACCAGAAATTGCGATTCTTTTCTTGATTTTTTTGTTGGAACTCACAAAAGCCTTGCGTGTCATTCCATTGGACATAGGAAAAAAGAAGTATTTATATTCTAGAAAAGAAAGAAATTTTTTTCCTAGAACAAATTTCACGTTTGAAAGTTACTGTCTTGTTAATTTGTTCCTTCATCAGAGAACAAAGAGATGCTCTATTTCTCGGATTCGACTTACTGGAGCCAATTTTTTTTTTTTGAAGTTACATTTCACAGATTAATTTTCCATGAAAGCTTGGATTCTAGAAGAGTTAAAAGAGGGCTGTTTGTAAATAACAGTTAATTAACAAACTGTTTATCCATGCAGAATTTCAGTCAAAATTAAGTACTAGCCAACTATTTTAAATGTTCAGTCCTGGACATGAGCCACATGTTATTTTCTTCTCATGATTATTCATTTCATTTTCGTCCCCTTTGGTATCCTAAGGGGAATAGTACCGTATGTGTACCATTTTTGTGGTACCGGTTTTCCAGCACTGGCTGCCTTGTTAATATGGAGTATGTACATTTGTTCAGTATACAGTCCTGTCAGAATCCTCCTTTGGTCAGAGAGAAGCAGGTCTGGGCATTACAGAGGGAAGAGGTACACTTTTGACTAACTGTATGAAGTTGTTGCAGCTTCAATATCCATGGTGATGTATAGTAGAGTAGTGTGTATCATGCTCACACTACCAGAAGCTACCAATGAAGATATCTGTAGATCACAATGCCATTAGGTGTGTCTAGCTTAGTATTCTACTATCATTATCACACCAGAAGAAATCTTAATCGTTGATTTATGAGTTCTACTATAAGTTGAAAAAAATATTCTACACTGTAGTGGTGGTATAAATAGATATGATCCGTTGGATTAGAAAAAAAAAACATTCTAGATTGGTTCTACTACTAATAGAGAGCAATGTAGAACACCTTGTCTAGTTATGTACTACATTGTTTACTTTGATCAGGAATGAATGCATGCATCCATCTTGGTGGTGTTAGTTGTTGTTTCAGAAGAGATATGGTTTTATCCAAGATGCTGCCCTAAAAGAAGTGGCATTAGTAAGGAAGACAAGCCCTAAAAAAGGAGCAAAGCTAAGACAGAGAAAAGGGGTGACTTTGAATGATATATGCAATTAGAAATCCATGTCTTGGGCAAAAGAGATTGCATGGCCAACTTGCCACTTTGTCAAGCACAAAAGAACACTTAAGTAAGTAGCAGGGCATGAAGCATCACAACTCTATCAGTAGGATCCAAGCAGAAGCAGGTTAAACCATCTGACACCATGGAGTAGACTCACCTAAACAACTTACAAAAATAAGGTCATTAGACCTTCACAAGTCTAATGATTAATCAAATTAAGTAATGTGAGCCTGCCTGTTGCTTAATATTTTACAGGGATAAGGTTGAGTTGACCACATTATTCAAGGATCCCAGGAGAAGTAAGATAAGCTTATAGTGGTGTTGTTGGCAGATCAAGTAAGTAAACTTGAAAAGCTGATTAGTATCTCAGTGCAATTAACTTCTTTTTTGTCCTAGGAAGAATATTTTGCATATGTTATTATTTTTGTACCTTTTGACTAGTGTTTGCTACTTCTTTTCTTTAATGATGGATGACAAAAAAAGGCTGAACAAAAAATGTTTATTATGCACTTGCACCCGTGGATAGACCATGACATAATCCTGGATTTCTTGTGTCTGAGTTTCTTAACTAATTAGGTGCTACTGCTGGGAGAAAAGTTTAGTACCATTGTACATAGCTTTGACAGCTGTTCTACACATCTCGTGCCATTTGGTAAGAATAAAGAATTTGCATGATAGAATTTGAGTATTATATACACAAAATGTTTGGAACTTTGATTTTGTCTTCAAAGTTGAACTCAACATTAATAAATGATAAAAGAAAGAGTAAATTTCACAAAACTACATATACTTGGTCAAATTATCACAAAACTACAGATTTAAGAATGCGTATCACAAGACTACAAATTTAGCGTCAAACTTTTCACGGAATTACAGATTTAATATACCATATACAAAACTACAGATTTAGTAATGAAGTTATCAAAGAACTACATATTCTAGAGTTTAGATCATAGCACTATTAATTACTTAAAGTTATAAAGTCTGTAGTTTTATGATAAAATAGTTTTAAATGTGTAGTTTTGTGATAAAATAGTTGTTAAATCTATATTTTTTGATATAAATCCTTAAATATGTAGTTCCGTGATAAATTTGACACTAAATCTGTAGTGCTGTGAAACACATTCTTAAATCTGTAGTTTTGTGATAATTTGATCAAAGTATGCATAGTTTTGTAAAATTTACTCAAAAAGAAAGGATAGAGACGCTTTAATTGTTACCATTTCTTTTATATAAGCCCGTCTGCTCTTTATTGTGAGCAGTGAACCGAATATACATACTTATAATTGCATGACGCGAAAAACGACACATGTTGATTACTAGCAAAAACTTGATAGGAACATGTAGTACACAAGCAAGCTTTATATTGATTAATATGGTCTAATGCACTAACATTTTCATGTTGATTACTATAAAGAACTTGAGTCAATTTCATAAAACTACATATACTTCGGTTAAATTATCAGAAAACTATAGATTTAATATGATGTATCACAAAACAACAGATTTAACACTAATTTTATTATAGAACTATAGATTTATGGTAAAATATCGCAAAACTACAGATTTAGTAACAAAGTTATCACAAAACTATAGATTTAATATCAATTTAATCTTGGACTTTTGTAACTTAAACATAACACTAGTGCAAAAAAAATTAAACCGTAAAATCTATAGTTTTGTGATAATTTTATCAATAAATATGTTGTTTTGTTATACTTAGTCTTAAACCTATAGTTTTGTGATAAATTTATTGCTAAATATGTAGTTCTATGATATATGAATATATAGTTTTACGATAATTTGGTTAAAGTATTTGTAGTTTTGTGAAATTTACTCAAAGAACTTTATATAAACATCACTGTGTTCTTCACCCTATTTTCCGAACTCACCTCGCTCGTTTTTCGTGCGCATGCTTTTCAAACCGCTAAACAGTATATTTTTTAGAAAAAAATTCTATATAATAGTTGCTTAAAAAAATCATATTAATCTATTTTTCAAAAATAATTTTATTAATACTTAGTTAATCATGTGCTAATGAACTCATCTAACGAACATAGCCTACAAGCAAACTTTATATTTATTACTATGGTCTACTGCACTAACATTTTTTACAAAGAAGAGTATGAAGTAACATGCTCACAAACAATGCTACTGGGAATCGATCATCTCACGGTTAAAGGCTTCAGATGAGCTAGAGTTCAATGATGTTTTCAACTATACACAGTTAATATGATTACACGGTAAATACACTACAATTACACTGTAAATACACTATAATTACACCTTAATTATATTGTAATTACATTCTAGTGATGTCTATTAAAAACTTTTTCAAGTGATTTATTGTATATTTTTGCTTTTAATCATGTTCATTAGTTTTGTTTTGATCCTATGGCTGAAAAATCGTGTGAGACGTAAGGAAAAATCTGTCAAATGATATCTAGGTAGTTTCTATAAAAATAATTCCAATATTCTCTCCACATGTTATATGGAAATATTTAGTTTATTTGTTTCACCCCAGTATCTCATGAAGTAAACACGCATTATGCTAGAATAAGGCGATATGTTAGGACGACACATGCTAAATATATATAGCGAGAGGTGATCACAGGCTGGCTTCTCTTCTCGTCATTCCACTTTTTCCTATCAGTCACGCATTTAGTTGATATTCTTTCCCACGATTCTTCTCGTTCTGATTAACTGGGCGCTGTTTTGTGTGAAGGAAATACTACATGAAAACTATGTGAGAACATCATGCAAAAGGAAGGAAAGGAGTGATCTAATCTCCGTTTATACTGGTATTAATCCGGTGCGACGGTTGATTGGTAACTACGGTAGTTACATTTTTTTTAATAAAAAGTAAATTGTGCCGAAGGCATAACGCCTTGGCCGGTGAGTGTACTGAGCACAACAACCTAAATTTCAGCATACAGGTACAGCAACTTAGTTCTGGGAGTATTGACTTTCTGACCACATTGGCAGGCCATGGGCCTCCAACCAGTTTAGGAAAAAAAAACCTTAATAATCCTTAGTTACTTCCTTTTTGTGACAATTACTCATCTTTTATATATCGTATATATAATCCAGTCTTTGCTTCAACATGACGTACTTCCTCCGTTTCATAATGTAAGTCATTCTAGCATTTTCCACATTCACATTGATGTTAATGAATCTAGAAAGATATATATATCTAAATTCATTAACATCAATATAAATGTGGGAAATGCTAGAATAACTTACATTGTGAAACGGAGGAAGTATATAGAATCATTTATTACAAAATAAAGTCCTTAGCTTAAAACCAAGCACATAAAATATCTAAGCAAAAACGTTTGGAACTTTGATTTTGTCTTCAAACTTTAGTGAAATCAATATTAGCTTAAAACCAAGTATGGAAAATATCTAAGCAAAATTGTTTGGAACTTTGATTTTGTCTTCAAACTTTAGTGAAATCAATATTAACAAATAACTAAAGAAACAATAAAGGCATTCCTGTGGGAGAGGATTATCTATTCGTTAGAGACTCCATTTTCCCATTGAGGACGAACCTCAACCTGTGCTCGAGAGATAGCTCTCCATACACTGATAAGGGATGTATGGATTCTCGAGAAGAGAGGAGCCGTACTCCTGTGGAAGAGGATTACCTATTCGTTAGTTGAAGCGCCATCACGTTGCTGTTTCTTTCTTCAATCATTTTAGAAGAGCTAGCTCAGTGACTCCTGCTTGTTTCCAAGTTTGCATTGTTTTTCATGAATGCATCATAAGCTTACACATCCCACGTTGCTGTTTCTTTCTTCAATTATTTTAGAAGAGCTAGCTCAGTGACTCCTGTTTGTTTCCAAATTTGCATTGTTTTTCTTTGAATGCATCATAAGCTTACACAGCCCAAAATTTTAGGTCCTTATCGAGCCTATAGAACCCAAAAGGCTAATTTGATAGGTGAGAACTATCCCCACCCTATTAAGTCGTGCTTCCCTATTATCAATGATTGATGTGGGACTAATCCCAACAGCTAATCACGAAAAATTTTACTTCAATGGAACAATTTTACTTTTGGATAGTAATAGATAAGCACAGACTCACAATTTTTACAGTCTAGTACTAATGCACTAGATTGTAGTATTTGTTTCTTCATGAGTCCTTCCAAATTGCAGGCCTGTAATTTTCTGAAGGAAATTAAGGGTATCTACACGCATTCTTGGTCAAAGCTGCCACATGTGATTTTTTTTTTGGTCACATTCGTGGTCCACGTCAACAACAGCCGGGTGAAACAGCCAGTTGTTGTTACTGGGCGCACTCTGCACAAGAGAAGACTCTGTTTAGGAAGGCGAATGAAAGGTAAAGTTTAGAATAATAATGACCTATTTGCTCGGACAATGTGGCAACTGTCAAAAACTGCCACTCCTGGGACATGGATTGATCACGGTGATACAAAATGTGTGTTTCATGATATCCAGAGAGGTTGAGTAAGTCATCACCTGCATTCCACTCGGCAAGAGTACTTGAGAAGATCATGATGGTCCTCTTATCTGTCCGAAATTCAAAGCGCATATCATGTTCAGTTCGAACTATTCGATAAAAGGTCTATATTTCCAGAAACCCCCCTTTTTTTTTTGTTTTCTGAAAAAGAACACCGCATATGGCTTCTTCAGAGAGTGGAGGGTTTGACAGTTCTCTTTTGGGAAATCATGGATACCCTCCACTTGCTTTTTTACCAAACCTGAAGCTTGGAAGTGACATTCTGATTGCTGGACCCATCCACTTGTGTTTATGTGACCCTGTTGACACTTTTGCATGATTAGAAAGTGAATTAGAGCATTGAATCAACAAAGTGAAGATTTAGAAGTTCCATTTTTTAGACAGATAAGTCAGGAAGTTGCTATCCAGAAGACATTTTGGAAGTCCGCATGATATCCGCCAGGCATTTAGACCCCAGCAATGAAGTCATTTGATGGATTGTACTATGAAACATGCTTACTAATATAGTACTTCCTCCATCCAATATTAAGTTCATTTCTAACTCCTTCCATTTGTCCCAAAATAAGTTCATTTTTGGAGTAATCATTGCATAAGAGTTTGTGAAAGTAAGGAATAGTTGTATTGGAAGAAGATAAAGTGAGAAATAGTTGCATTGGGATTTTATAAAGTAGGGGTATTATAGTTTTTTTAGTTTTGTATTGGTATATTTGGGATTGTTGAAAAAAAATAAACTTATTTTGGGATGGAGGTAGTATTTGGTTTTAGCTCCAAAGGAGCAGCCATTGAAACCCATGCAGTTTTAGTGAAAAGAGCCTTCTATACTAATAGATATTGAATGAATTATTTAAAATGGATATTGAAGTGAAAAACATCATGCATCGTTGATGCATTAAGCAGATAAGTTCCAACTCACCGGTAAGTGGGGCACTTGCACAAATGCCTTGTAATCTTGATCTCACGGTCATTCCCTTGCTTGGAGAAGGTCGAGCGCAACCCAAGCAAGCTCAGGAAGCCATTTGATTTCACCAATGGCTTATTTGTAAGCACATCAGTTTCAGTCTATCACATTCGAACAATGTTCATGCGATAGAAAGGTTATAGACACAGTAAACATTTGTCAAGCTTAATCATGAAAGTACACTGAATACTATTGTACCCCTACAACAAGCCATGCATGCCTTCTTTCCCAAGAATCTGTGAGAATGTAGCAACATGGCTTGGGAGTACAACTTCCTACAGGAATAAGAATGGCCTTGATCAGGGTAATTGTAACAAAGCAGATGGACAGAGCATAAAAGCAAATGAGGGGATTGTGGTGTCACCTTGTGACCGGTGCCAGCAGGCTTCGCGCTGTTCACCAGCACTCTAGCAACCCATCTGTAAATGAGTTCAGAGACTTCAGAACAAACCAACAGAACACCCACTGCAAGACCTTTCCATCATAGAATTAGACAACGTCACATCACATTCGTGTCAAACACTAAGCTGTTATCAAGCAAAATCAACACTGATCTAGTAGGCATTTTTTTATTGATTTTGCAGGGATTCGAACCTGGCACAAGGCACAGCTCGAACACCATTTTATTCAATCAGATATTGCTTAGCAACAGAATTTATTTATTTTTATAATCAAATACTGCATTCGGTGAATAACAATACTTTTCTCTTTTCTTCAGTATGGAAAAAGACAAACTAGTGCTGACCCAACAATACCCATAATTGAAATCAATGAAACGCTCTTGATTGAGATACATACCTTGGTCAAGAATTTATTCTTCATACAACTAATTTAGAGAAGGCCAATGATGTCTGCATAACTGTAGGCATTTTCAAACAGCCCTGGATTTCACAAAGGAGTGGTACTTCTCAGGGAGACCCTTCATATGTTGATTGTACTTCCCACTTGAAACCAGCAAAATCAGTAACTCAGCAGTGGAAGCTTCAAGGGAGAAGTCATTTTTATCAATTTTGGACAGATAAACACCAGCCCTGCCTATCTCCCCTTTCTGAAGTAACTTTCTGACGATGCAATTAAGCATACGGGAGTTAGGAACACAGCCATTCTTCTCCATTGAAAGAAATAGATTATCAGACTCTTCGAGCAAGCCATCTTCTATGAGATTTTCAATCATTAAGGTATAGGTCACAACATCCGGTGCTAAACCATTTGCCGAGAGAGCAGCAAACAAATCCTTTGATTCATCCTTTCTGCCACTTCTAAGCAAGGAACCAATCATTATATTGAAAGTTCTAGTCTCAAGCTTTACATCCATCAAACATAGATTCTGAAACATCTGAAGTGCCTCACCAGTGAGATTATTTTTGCAAAGTCCTTGAAGGACTATGTTGCATGTGCTAATTTCAAGCTGTATTCCCCTTTTGATAATCCTGACATAGATTTCTTTAGCAGCACGAGTTTGTCCAGTCTGAAATAAACCTTGAAGAACTATGTTATACGTGATAATATTAGGACTAACACCATTGCACACCATCTGCCTGAAAAGAGATAATGCATTCTCCATCCTACTAATTTTACAGTAGCCATTAATCAAAGTGCTATAAGTAACAGTATCAGGTTTCAACCCAACTGAGACCATGTCAGAAAGTAACTTCATTGCTTCATCCATCTTACCTGCCAAGCAATATCCATCGATGAGTGTACTGTATGTAATGACATCAACCTTCACATCAATGTTAGAATTTCAATGGTTACTCTCATTGAGAAGAGGATGGCACTCGAGATGGGGCAATTTTCTGGTTTTCTTCATTCACTAAACACAAAAGCCATGTCCTCCCAAAGAGGATTGGATACATATTTATAGCTGCTTGTAGCAGCCATGCAGCCATGCTAGTCTAAGAGGGTGCTGTCAGCATCCCAACAAACTGTCCTAGAGCAGAGCATCCCAACAAACTGTCCTAGAGCATCTCAACAAACTGCTGTCCTAACTGTCCTAGAGCATCCAAACTGAAAGTAGAGATGCTGTCCTAGAAAGCTGAAAAGCAGGAAAAAAGGCACCACAAGACCAAGACCAACCAGCCAAGACTTATTCCTACATTCTCCCCCTAAGTCTTGTGCGCCGTCTTGTGGGAGAGTTGAGCCATCCCGATCCGGGAGCAAAGCTCAAGGAACTTGATCCTCCCAAGGGGTTTGGTGAGCAAATCCGCAAGCTGGTCCTTGGTGTTGATGTAGCTCGCCTTGATGCTCCCTTCCTCCAAGTAGCTTCGGATGAAATGGTACCTCACTCGGATGTGCTTGCTCCGTTCGTGAAAAACGGGGTTTTTTTGCCAGGGCCAGAGCGGACTTGCTATCCACCCTGAGCTCCACCGCTCCAGTATCTCTGCCGAGGAGATCACTAAGCAGTCGAGCAAGCCAGAGCGCCTGGGTCGAAGCGGCGGATGCTGCCATGTACTCGGCCTCGCAGCTGGACAGGGCCACCACCTGCTGCTTGATTGACTGCCAGCTAACGAGGCACTCGCCGAGGAAAAAGAGAATCCCGCTCGTGCTCTTGCTGGTGTCGATGTCGCCGGCGTGGTCGCTGTCGCTGTACCCGACGAAGTGTGCCTTGCCAGGACACCTCGGGTAGTAGAGACCGTGGTCGAGAGTCCCCGCAACGTAGCGGATGATCCTCTTCACAGCCTGCTGGTGCTCCGTCGTCGGTCGCTGCATGAACCGACTGACGTAGCCGACGGAGAAGGCCAAGTCCGGCCGTGTGTGGGTGAGGTAGCGAAGGCTCCCCACAAGACGTCGGTACTGTGTAGCATCCACCTCCTCCGCTGTGCTGTCGCGGCTCAGCTTCAGTCTCTCCTCCATCGGAGTGAGAGCTGGGTTGCAATCGGTGAGCCCAGCCAGCTCAACGACGCGCTTGGCGTAGGCGGTCTGTCGAAGCGTGATCCCGGAGTTGTCCTGGTGCACTTCGATCCCCAGGTAGAAGGAGAGAGGCCCCAGATCACTCATCTGGAAGGTGGCCTTCATCTCCTCCTTGAACGCCGCGACCTCTGCATCCTTGGTGCCGGTGATCACTAAGTCGTCGACGTAGACACCCACCAGCAAGGCATTTCCTCCATTGCCCCGCCGGTAGATGGCCGCCTCGTGCGGGCTTTGCTCGAAGCCCATCCCCTTGAGCGTGGAATCCAACTTGGCATTCCACGCCCTCGGTGCCTGCCGCAAGCCGTAGAGGGCCTTGTGCAGGCGTAGCACCTTGCCCTCCTTGCCGGGGATCACAAATCCCGGCGGCTGGTGCACGTAGACCTCCTCCTTCAAGTCGCCGTTTAGAAACGCCGACTTGACGTCCATGTGATGGACGCCCCAGCCTTCCTGAGCAGCCAGCGCAAGAAGGAGTCGCACGGACTCCATCCGTGCCACGGGAGCGAAGGCATCGTCGTAGTCGATCCCCTCCTGCTGCACGAAACCGCGTGCCACCAAGCGAGCCTTGTGCTTGACGATGGCTCCGGCTTCATCCCTCTTCAGCTTGAACACCCACTTAAGGGTGATCGCGCGGTGACCACGAGGGAGGTCAGCAAGCTCCCAGGTGCGGTTCTCCTGAACCGCGTCCATCTCCGACTGCATCGCGGCACGCCATGCCGCGTGTTTCTCGGCCTCTGCAAAAGACCGAGGCTCACCGTCGTCGCACGCAAGGTGCAACTGCGCCTCCAGGTTGCGAGGCACCAGTCCCGGCACCGGCTGGTCGCCGAGAAGATCCTCCATCGTACGGTACCGTAGCTGCTCGCCGTCATGGTACGCGTCGATGCGCTCCCCGTCGTGGGAGAGCGGAGTAACGAACTCCACCGGGCTGCGCTCAACACGAGCTGGCGTCGGAGTAGACGTGCCCGGAGGAGTGGCTGTTGGTGCTGGAGCGTGTGGGGACACCGGCTGGGGTGGTGTCGACGAAGAGCTCGTCGTAGTCGAAGTCGTGGCCCGAGGGTGTGTTGGTGTTGGAGTCGGTGGAGGCTCGGGGACTGGGGTAGACACGCTCGGTGAAGAAGAGCTGCCTACTCCCCCAGCTCCCTCGAAGTGGACGTACTCGATGGTGAAGTCGTCGTACGTCGGAGTCGAACCATCATCCACCGCCTTGTCCCATACCCACCCTCGCCCTTCGTCGAACACAACATCGCGCGTAATGCGCACACGCTGTGTCTCCGGGTCGAGGATGCGGTAGGCCTTCGAGCCCTCCGCGTAGCCGATGAACACCCCTGGGGTGCTCCTGTCGTCGAGCTTGCCGATGTGGCCAAGCTCCTTGGCGAACGCGAGGCAGCCGAAGACCCGCAGGTGGGAGACCGCCGGCTTGCGCCCATGCCAAGCCTCGTACGGTGTCCTGCCATCGAGGGCCTTGGTAGGCGAGCGGTTGAGGATGTAGGCGGCCGTCACCACCGCCTCCCCCCAGAAGATGGCCGGCATCCCCCTCTGCTTGAGGAGGGCCCGAGCCATCCCCACAACCGTCTGGTTGCGCCGCTCGACGACGCCGTTCTGCTGTGGGCTGTACGGCGCGGTGTAGTGGCGCTGAATGCCCTCATCAGCGCAGTACGACGCGAATTCAGCTGCCGTGAATTCGCCGCCGTTGTCGGTGCGCAGCATGCGCAGCTTGCGGCCGCACTCCGCCTCTGCAGCAGCCTGCGCATGCCTGATGGCGTCCGCAGCCTCTCCCTTGCTGCCGAGGACCATCACCCACATGTAGCGGGAGAGGTCGTCGACGAGCAGCAGGAAATAACGTCGTCCTCCTGGTGTGGCCGGTGTCACTGGGCCACACAAGTCCCCGTGCACGAGCCCGAGCCGCTCCTTGGCTCGGAAGCTCGTCTGCTGGGGAAAGGGGAGCCGCCGCTGCTTTGTCACCACGCAGACGTCGCAGAGCTGCTCCACGTGGTCAAGGCACGGCATGCCTCGCACCATCTCCTTGGCACTGAGCTGCTTCAGGGCCTCGAAGTGGAGGTGCCCGAAGCGCTCGTGCCACTGCCACGCCTCGTCGTCCCGACGAGCGGCGAGGCAAACTGGATGTGCGACCTGCGCGCTGAGGATGTAGAGTCGATTAGTGCCTCTGGTTACCTTGGCAAGAAGGCGACGACGGCGATCCCAAATCCTCATGAGTCCGTCCTCGACCAACACGCGTGAGCCGTTCTCATCCAGCTGTCCCACGCTGATGATAGAATTCCTCAACGCGGGGATGTAGTAGACTCCGGTGAGCAGCCTGTGCTCACCGGACTTGGCGGTGAAGGTGACGGAGCCAACACCCTTGATCTCCACGCCGGAGGCGTCCCCGAACTTGACGGTGCCTCGGACGCTGGAGTCGAACTCGGTGAAGAACTCCCGTCGGCCGGTCATGTGATGGGTGGCGCCGGTGTCGAGGTACCACCCATCAGCCTTGTCGTTGCTGGAGCCGTCACAGAGGGAGACGAGTACCTTCGGCTCATCAAGGTGGAGGAAAGCCGCTGCGGCCGGTGCCGCTGGAGGTAGCTCGATGCTTGCGTGAGCTAGGAGCAGAGCCGGCTCTTCCTCCTCCACCCGTGCGACGTGGGCCTGGCCGCGTCGTGGCTGTCGACAGTCTTTGGCCCAATGGCCAAGCTTGCCACAGTTGCGGCAGGTGTCGTCTCGTGCCGGCTTGTGGTTGCCGGTGGCAACGCCCTGGGCGCCTCTGCGGGCGCCACCCTCGGCACGTCTTCGCGCCCACCGTAGCTGGACACCTCCCCGCGCCTTGCGCGGCTTATGGCCGCCTGTCGGGGAAGATGACTCCCCCTTCCTCCCGTCACCCTGAGAGGCCTCCCACTGCTCCCGAGTGAGATGGAGCTTCCCGCCGATGGTGATGGGCCCCGAGAGAGGCCGTGGCTCATCACCATCGACGACCTTGAGGCGACCTAACGCCTCCTCGATCGACATCGTGGAGAGGTCCAGCAGAGATTCAATCGAGCGAGCGATCTGCCTGTACTTCTCAGGGACGCAGCGGAAGAGCTTCTCGACAGCTCTCTCCTCGTCGTAGGTGTCGTCGCCGTACTGCACCATTTTCTGCAAGAGAGTGTTGAGACGGAGAGCAAAGTCATCAACATCCTCACCTGGCTTGAAGGCCAGGTTCTCCCACTCCTTGCGGAGTGCCTGCAGTGTGGACTTGCGGGCGCGGTCGCTGCCGATGCGTGCCGCAGCGATGGCGTCCCAGGCCTCCTTGGCAGTCCGCTTCTGGGAAAGCGAGAACTGCATCTCGGGCGGAACTGCAGCGATGAGGGCATCCAGTGCCCGCCGATCCTCGTCGTAGTCGACGTCACCGTACCGGACTGCCTCCCACATGTGCCGCACCTGGAGCCTCACCCTCATCACCGCGGCCCACTCGATGTAGTTGGTTTTGGTGAGGGTAGGCCACCCACCGCCGGGACCAAAATCCCTGACCACCGTCTGGACGCCGTGGTGACCATGGCGCCGGTCAGGGGAGAGGGAGCCGTGCCGCCTGCGAGGGCCGCGTGCGGGCTCCGGGCTGCCGCCGGCACGCCCGCGCCCGTCTGGGTTCCCGTCGGCGGGCGCACGATCCCTTGGGCCGCCGCCGCCGCCGTGGAGGTGGGCTGCTGCCCACCGCTCTGCTCGCTCCCGTGCCCTTCCTCTTGCCAGCTCCTCAAGCTCCCTGTCAGCGGTGATGTCGCCGGCGATGGAGCCGTTGATGCTGCTGCGCAAGGTCTCAACCTCTACCTCCGCCGCACGTGCCGCATCTTCCGCCGCCTCCGCCTCCGCCTCCGCCCTGGCTGCTGCCAACTCCGCTGCCGCCAGTCTGGCCGCCCTCGCTGCTGCTGCAGCGGTCTGAGCCGTTGCTCGCCTGCGCTCTTCTGCTGCGGCGAGCTCGGCGTCCTGCTGACGCCGAGTGCTCGAGGCGACCGAACGCCGAGACCGAGCGTCGGACATGGCGCACCTCCGGGGGGCTGCTGTGTGGAGAGGGGGAAGGGAAAGGGGAAGGAGGGGCAACCGGTGCTGCTGCTGCTGCTGCTGGCTGAGAGCTCAACCGAGCTTGGGAAGGGGTGGAACAAGAGATGTTTAGCCTACAGGAAAGTGTGGCTCTGATACCAGATGTTAGAATTTCAATGGTTACTCTCATTGAGAAGAGGATGGCACTCGAGATGGGGCAATTTTCTGGTTTTCTTCATTCACTAAACACAAAAGCCATGTCCTCCCAAAGAGGATTGGATACATATTTATAGCTGCTTGTAGCAGCCATGCAGCCATGCTAGTCTAAGAGGGTGCTGTCAGCATCCCAACAAACTGTCCTAGAGCAGAGCATCCCAACAAACTGTCCTAGAGCATCTCAACAAACTGCTGTCCTAACTGTCCTAGAGCATCCAAACTGAAAGTAGAGATGCTGTCCTAGAAAGCTGAAAAGCAGGAAAAAAGGCACCACAAGACCAAGACCAACCAGCCAAGACTTATTCCTACAATCAATACGTCCCATCAGGCCAAAGAGTTTTTCAGATTCTATAAACCTCCCTTCTTTGCAAAGATTATCAATTATTGAATTAAAGGAAATTGTGTCCGGACAGATTCCTCTGTTAATCATTTCAGAGATTAACTCCTCAGCCTTCTCCCATTTGTCACTGGTACAGAGACCATGAATCAGTGTGTTGAAAATAACGATGTTAGGGGTTACACCTTCACTAATCATCTGCTCCAAATTAAGCATTGCATCATCTACTCTGCCTGACTTACAAAGTCCATCTATCAATGTTCCGTAGGTCACTACATCCGGAGTTAATCTTTGCTGCCTCATTTTGCTGAATACAAACATGGCCACATCTACATTTTGATGCTTAGTGCATGCACATATTAGTATGCTAAAGACATGACGATCAGGTTGGATACCATTTCGTACCATCAAATCCAAGAGATCACGCATCTCAACAAGAGCTCCTTTCGTAGCATAACCATGAAGCAAGGTACTGTATGTAATAACATTAGGCTTTAGGCCCCTCTTGATCATAGAATCAAGAATCTTTCTAGCTTCTATGCATCTTCCGTTCTTGCAGAGATAGTCCATTAGAGATGTATAAGTAACAGCATCTGGTTCAACACCATCGCTGCACATCTTTTCCAAAATTCCAATAGCTTCTTTCGACTGTCCAGAAGAGCAATATCCATGCACAATACTATTATATGTGATGCAATCGGGCATGACTCCATTCTTAACCATCCTATTAAGTACATCCATGGCCTTATCCATAGCTTGAGCCTTGCACAAGGCAGCGACAATAGTGTTGTAAGTCACAACATCTGGTAAAATCCCTCGCTCCAGCATTTCATGGTATGTACTGTAAGCTTTGTCCGAATCCCCCTCTTTGAACAAGCCATCGATGATGGTGCTGTACGACACCACATCAGGAGGGCAGTCTCCTCCATCATCCGCCATCATGTGCAGCAGCTCGAGAGCTTCTTGGCTTCTGCTCTCATGACAGAGTCCCTTGAGAAGAATGTTGTAGGAGAAGACATGCGGCGCGCAGCCAAGCTCTGTCATTCTGCGGAGCACTATGTTCATTGCGTTGCTCGTCCTCTTCTCGGCACAGAGGCTCTTGAGCAGAGGAGTAAAGATGATGGGTTCCACTCTATATCCCTTCTTAATAACATTGCCCAATCCCGCGAAACCGAGGTCCAAACGGCCCGCGCGGCAGCAGCAGCCGATGAGGATGCCATAGGTGTGCAAGGTGGGAGTCACCGCGCCGTCGCTGGATCGTGCCATGCGGTTGAAGCCGGACACGGCGGCCGCGGGGCTGTCGCGCGCGACGGCGGCGAGGGCGCGGTTCAAGCTGCGGATGATCGAGGCGCCCCCGCCCCCGCCCCTGCCTTGCCGGAGCAATTCGTCGAACACGTGGAGTGCGTCCTCGGCGCCACCCCCGCTGGCGCCTGCTGCTCCGGTCTTTGGTCCGGGTCGCGCACCCTCGGAGCGAGGGCCGCCGCCGACGGATCGTGCTCGGGCGGGGACGCGGCGTGCCATGCGTGCGCCGACGGAGCTCGCAGCAACCTCCGGGTAGCGCCGCGCCGCGCCGCGCCTGAGCAACTAACTGACCCGAGGGAAGGAAACCGGAGGCAAGGAAAGGGAGGAGCTAAGCAGCACGCGAAGAATGGCGTCCGGATCTTGTGTTGGCGGTGGCGGCGGCGAGCCGGCGACGGCGACGGCGTGAGGGGACGACGGGCGCACCGGGATAATTGGCTGAGAGACTGATGATGCGCGGAGAGACCGTCAGAGTAGAGTAAAAGACGCGAAGAGATCAGCAGTTTATTAAATTTGTTATTTTGTCTTTTTTTCCCCCAAAATTCCCCCCTGCAAATTTACATTTTTTTTGCCTGTTGTTAGTGGTGCATTGTATTTCAATTGCAACTTTTTTTAAAAAAAAACTAGTTAAATAAAATGCAGATAATGAAAACCCCAAGTATCAACTATTAAGAAGTAATAAATCAGCTTAGATGGATCTGGGGAGATGGATGTGGTGGCTCCGGCGGTGGGTATGGAAGCGAGGAGGTGGCATTAGGGATGTGGATGAGGAGGTAAGGCTGTCGAAAAAGCTCGAGGCTTGAGAGCTGCTCAAGCTCGACTCGTCCTAGCTTGATTCGAGCTCGGCTCGAGCTCAAGCTTCTAACGAGACTAGATATACATATTTTTTTTGTTGTTATTTTATAAATTAGGAGATTAAATATATTATTTGTATGTCTTGTAGTGGCATCATATATTTATTTTATTCTTTTTCCTCTTCTATTAATATGATGAACCATAAATTAATTACTTTTTAAAGATTATCCTTCTAATTAAAAATCAAGATCGGTAGTCGAGCTCGAGCTTGATCGAGCTCAAACCTAGACAGACGAGCGAGCTCGTTGACAGCCCTATGAGGAGGAGAGCATCTCGTCACTGAAGCTCCATGAGGCGATCTTCGGACCTTGGGAGGAGATTGCAGCGGTGCTTGGCATGGGAGCAAGATGGTCCATTGGCGGGGCTCGGTATGGGGAGGTCGGGAGGAGGACGACCTAGCGGTGGCAGCAAGGAGGAGGGAGGAGGCGGTGGGGCTCGGCACTCGGCATGATGGTTCATTGTTAAATTTAATGAAACTTAGTGTTGTAGATGTTAATAATTTTTTTCTATAAACTTAATCAAAACTAAAGAATTTTGAGTAAGAAAAAAGTCAAACAACTTATAATATAAAACTTATAATATAAAATAGAGGGTGTACCGTACAGTAGCGGCAGTGCGTAGAGGCATTTGACAGTGTAATTCAGGCATAGCAGGGACGTTTTGGTGATTTGTCTGGCTGGACCATGCCTGTTAGTGTGCTATGTTTACAATGTTGATGCTTTCTCTGTGTTTCTACAACTTTACATGTTTTCCATTTTATTTTTCTATTGGGAGTGCCTAGCGAACCTGAATGTTTTTTCACCCATCTCACTCAGATTTTTCAGAGTCTGGATGGACGTCATGATGCCAAGTGAAAACGGACTTATAATGGTTAATTGTTGTTATGTATATGCATCTCAGTCCATGGGCCGATTGTTAGTGCAGATAAAGAGAAGCCCAGCCGGCTCTTCATTATTATTGTCCGTAAAAGCCCAAGATGCCTAACAAAAAGAAAAATATTACTAAGACATCTACTAAAAAGTTATTACATCTAGTTACATTAATTATAACTAGCATGGTGGCCCACGTAGATTGCGCGGCTAGTATCATTATATTTTCTCTTATATAATAGCATACATTATTTCTCAATGTATTATTCAAATATATTAAAATGACAACATAATTTTAAATTTTGTACTAACTTTACGAAACTACTACTCCCTCCGTTCCAAAATATAAGGCACAACCACTCTTAACCCAAAGACCAAGAAACAATTATTATCATCTCCTAGTTTGGATCACCTTAATAAATATAATGTATGCATCCAATAGAATTAGAGATATTGAGGATAGATGATTTAAAAAAGTAATAATTTAATGGGGAAGTGCTCCTAATTAATTGTATGCATGCATGCAAGCCTTATATTATGGAACATCCAAAAAAATTAGTTGTGCCTTATATTATGGAACAAAGGGAGTAATGTGTAATATGCACATTGTATTTTATATATGTTTTAGTTATTAATTATTTTTAATATCAAATTTTAGTTATTTGTAAATTATATTACTATATGGACTCTAGACTCATCTTTCAATATACATAGACTCTAGGCTCTTCTTCAAATAATATTTATTTTTAATTCTGAAACTTTATTATTTCTAATTGTATTTCTATGTGTACTCTAAACTCATCTTTTAATATTCTTTAATTTTTAATTTTAAATATCAGTTACTTCGAAATTGTATTCCTATATTGATTTTAGACTCTTCTTCCCATGTTTTTTTAATTTTGAATTTTATTTATTTGTAAATTTTATTTTTATACGGACTCTAAACTCTACTTTTAATTTTATTATGTTTATTCCGAATTTTAGTTAGTTTTAAATTCCTATATGGACTCTATACTCTACTTCTAATATTCGTTATTTTTAATTCTGAATTTCTATTATTTCTTAATTGTATTTCTATATGGCTCTATAAACTACTTCTAATATTCCTTATTTTTAATTCCGTCTTTCTATTATTTCCTAATTATATTTCTATATGGACTCTATACTCTTCTTTTAATATTCTTTATCATATCTAGCAAATCGCTTTTTGGATAATTCTGAATTTCAGCTATTTCTAAATTATATTTCTATGTGGACTCTGTTTTTCTTTTTCTCCTGTTAATATGAGAATTTCTAGGCCGTGAGAGCGAACGTGGAGGCTCCTTTTTCTATTCCTTTAATAAGTTAATAGATTGTAATTAGATAGTAGTAACAATATAATTATAGTGCAATTATATTATGATACTGTAATTTTGCACTTTATCTCTGTAACCACTAACCAGTATTTATTTTTTTTAGGAACCACTATTCAGCATTAGCTGCTTGCTCGGTGTTAATGACTTTCTAGCGGGAAGCGTAGGTCGTGTGATAGACTGATCCATCACTCGTTTTTTACTCCCTCCATCCTAAAATGTTTGACGCCGTTGACTTTTTTTAAAATGTTTGACAATTTGTCTTATTCAAAAAAATTAAGTAATTATTATATCTTTTCCTATCATTTGATTTATTGTTAAATATATTTTTATGTATATAGTTTTACACATTTCACAAAATTTTTCGAATAAGACGAATGGTCAAACATGTTTAAAAAAGTCAACGGCGTCAAACATTTAGGAAAGGAGGGAGTATTTTCTCGCCCGTACAAACACTAATCTTGACACAATTACACGGCTAGAAAATTGAAAATCTGTAACCAAAAATATTTTCCTGCCCATACAAACACGAATCTTGACATAATCCTACGGCCAAAAAAATCGACAAATAGGTAACAAAAAAATTGTCAAAAGATTAATACAAGTCCTGACGCTCAATTAACCATGAGCACGGCTATTTCAATAGGTTGGTTTTAGTCACACTGCAGTGGATGCACGCTTTTCCGGTAGTCTGTGATATGCCCAACACATGAGCCTAGTCCCAATACACGAGATAAATCACGACCTAGTTTTTCTGGATCTTGTGGCATTGCGGCACTCGCTTCAAAGACTATAAATCCCCATGCACTCCCTAGCTCCTTCATCCCGCCGCGCCAGTCATGAGGGGAGTCTTGGACTCCGATATATCAAAGGAAATGAAAGCAAACAATGGTTCATTTTACTCGATATGTCATTAACACACTCACTATCCTTTTTCTCCATTCACAACACATGAAGTTCAGAACCGGCCATGACTAGGGTGTCGTCCCATCAGAATCACCTAGTCCACTAGGTCTAGGCCTATATGAGAAAAGCGGTCGTAGTTGTTCGTTTCCTACATATTTTCTTAACTCGGTTCTTACCTAGCCAGGGTCGGCGCTAACCTTTTCCAGGAATCACTCAATTTAATTCTTGCCACCCTAGCCAAAAAATAGTTTTGTTCATTAAATTTGGTTTTTCACAAACAATTTAGGTGTGCATCGCAAGTGGCATTTCATGTCTCTACTTGCAGCAATGTAACCACTCACTACCCGAAGTGATCACTCCCATCCCATCCAATAATCATATAGGATATGAATCATCTATCAAGCATGACTAAGAATTTATCGATAATTGATTAGGGACATAAAGTAGTGTATAGCATATTAGCATCAAGGTATATGGCAACAATATCAAAGGATATACACACGCAACAATGTGGGAATACAATTTAACATAGCATGCAATTTTAGTTGCAAACAGAACATTTGACGATAGGATCAGCATGCTCGAAGGAGCGGAATATGATGACTTGCCTTGCCTAGCTACATGAACCTTCTCCTCAGCGTCAAATTGTTTTTCGCACAAATGTAACCTAGACGGCGAACAGCTAACTCAAAATACGGTCCAGTGGCTAATTAATAAGGAATTAAATACCAATAAAAATGAGAAAAATAACAAGCCAACGCCAATAGATAAAGAGAGTATCTATGCATCTTTCGAAAGATTTTTATTATCATATCACACAGATTTTTAATCTTTAGATTAAAATCTAATAGATACAGTAAAAGACAAAAAGCAACTAAGAAACACCATAATGGACACTAATTGCCATATCTTCAAGAAAAAGACCAAATCCAATATAAATTTCAAAACTTACGTGCGAAGGTTCCAAAATTATACTGTAACTTATAAAAGTTACAATATAAGTTTATAAATTACACTGTAACTTACAAGAAAATACACTGCAAATTTGAGTGAGAAATCAGGTGAAAGATAAGAAAAATATATTTCGAGTGAGATATAGCAAAATCGATTGATAAATCTTGATTTAGATGAATTTAGGTAAAAGCTTCACTAGTGGTGATGGGGTTAAGGTGGACTAGGTCAATTTGACCAGTCAATGGCCCAGAGCCATATATCGGTGACATATATCATTAAACATCTTTTGATCAGAGTTTCTAAATAACCAGGAACCATATGTTATACTAAGGATTAAGGGGGTCATTATCTTAATATTTCATTAGTGAATAAGGAAGGATTAAAGAAAGGTGGGCCCTGCATGCTAGTTAGAGTAAGGTGGTGCAGAAGGGTGGTGGCGGCGTAAGAGGGCTAGCGGGGTTGCCGGAGCTTTAACACCCGACGGATGAGCAGCGGTGGGCCTTGGGGCAGGTTTACGCAGGCAGGGTTAAACCTATCGGTTTAGTCGATTTAATCGGTGCCCACCGAAATGGCGAAATTTCCGAAATTGCAAAGGTGAATATTGAAGCTAACCAAATTTTTCGAATTATGGGATTAGCTCAATCATCTCCATGGTCGAACTTGCCCTTACCCTGATATGCTAAAAATCATATATACAAGATATATACACATAAACAAAAGATGATGGTCACGCACCATTTACTTCCTTATATTCTCCTCGGTTGCCCCTCTCGCGTTGCTCTAGGAAAGTTCCTGCATACTCCTATTCAATTTTGTTGTCACCATATTTTACTCCAATATCCCAAAATTCATCAACCTTAGGAAGCAAAAACAGTCACCATATGTAGACAGATACACAATGAGAGATGTGATGTCCTCATGTGTATAGAAACTCCACCGCTTATTATGTTTTGCTGCAGTTGATTTGTTCGATCTGTCTTATAGCATCTATATATACTACTGTACTCTTGTTCGGTTCGTTTCACAACTTCATTTTTGGAAGACAGAACATAAGTACAACTTGTGTGTTGACGAAGGATGAAAAAAGTGCCTCTAGTCATGCGATTGTTGGAGGGCAAGCATCTGGACCAGCACCATGTTTTCATGACATTGTAAAGAGAAGAAATGCTTGTGTATGGAAATTGAAAGGATCCGGTTTACATGACAAGAATCGAGGAAGTCTGACTTGTAATGGCTCCATTCCACAATCCACATCCTGTCTTGCTGTACCATCAACTTGTGCAGCCTCACTTTCTCGCTTATGCTTATACTTATTAGCTAAAATTTAAATTTTTAACTTTAAATTTGAAATTGATTTGGGTTTTTTTTATCAAAGTTTATTTTTAACCTTTAAGTACATGTATAGGGAAAAAATATTTTTCGTTTACAAATAAGCCAAACAGTGGTGTCCGGAAGTATGGTGAAAATCCGTATTAGGGTATTCTGACTGCAACGTGGATTCAATTTGCCACCATGAAACAATGCACCCATGTGTATGAATGTAACAAGAAAATAATACGGCCTGCTCAGAAGACCTGTATAGGCCCGAAAACGGAAGCAAATTACAGGCCCGTAAACTTACTCGCATCAGACTGAGAAAGGCCGTTTGGGTTCGCCGGTTTTCCACCGCCGCCACCGCCTCCCCATCTCGATCCGAATCGCCGGCCTCCTCCCGCCGGCGATCTGCCTGGCCGGCATTCTCGCCTGCCGTCTATCTGCTCGGTCTGTGCCGCCGGAGTCGATCCGCGCGGCCGACCTCCTCGAGTCGCCGATCCAAGCGGTTGCCCGCTGGCATCGGTCCACGGCGGCGGCCATCCGCGCGCATCGTTGTCTTCAGGCCTTGGCGAAGCCAGGTTCATCAGCCATCCTTGTCATCTCATCTTCTACCCCTTTCGGTTTGCCTCATTCGCTTCATTGCACAGTGCACCCGAACAACATTTTTTTTTCCTTCTGGGATAATAAAATAACAAGGCTGTATTTTTTTTTTGGTTTCCAGTAATTACATCGGTAAAAGATTTACTGGTGAAAGATAGTACTAATCATCCAACCTGGCTCTAAATATATATATATTTTTAAAAAGGATTAAATGGTAAGATTTGTGCTGTTCTTTAATGTCATATTATTATTCTGATGTGATTTTTTCATTACTAAACAACAACAACTGGATAGTGCAAAGGTGCAAACGGGAGCAGGTTCAGGGGTCTGAGAAACCAAATTGCAAGTCCAGGGGGCTAGGTTAAATATTGGCGTAAAACCAATATTTACTCTTTTAAACCATGGGTAACACCTCCAAAATACAAAAATGAAATGGATAAAAATTACAAGAAGAGAAGAAAATAAACTGTACTGACAATATTCTGGACTTCAGAAACAAACAAAGTATGCTTCAGTAAGTAACAACTTCTCAAGCAGACAACCAAATCTAGTTACATTCATTGCTTACCCAGATTACTTCGTTGCTCGAAATTCATTATCAGGCATATGTATGAGCTGAGAATGCCTTCTTTATAGCATTCAATTCCTTGACTACATTATCCATCTTCATTCTTTCCCTTGGTGATTCCTTGCAGCATGCTAGACCAAGTCGAAATATAGGATAAACAACTAGTTGTGTCATATCTTGGGTGTTTCCATTGTAGGTTGCATTAGTGTCCAATATTTCCAATAGATTGTTAGGATAGGCTGTCTTGACATAATCGATAAGACTTGCCATACCATTGATAAAATTGTCAGTTGGTCTTCTTCCAGTAAACATTTCCAACAACAACACCCCATAGCTATATATGTCCCCATCCATAGAGACCGGAGATCCTGAGCCATATTCTGCAAACATATATAAATCATAAAAAAGTTTTAGTGGATACATAGTGAGTATGGGATAAAAGGTGGATCTCGCACTACAATTTTCAGTCAAATATAACATCAATATTACATTTTGTTTTTGCATCGCTAGGTCACATTAAAATACTATCGTATCATTTTGTTAAACTAGTAAAATATATAGAATGGAAATAATTATTGAGATCCTGACATAGTTGAGTTGAATAATATCCACTTACCTGGTGCAACATATCCAATTGTTCCTTTAATTACAAATGAGCTGCTTTCTTTGCACGGTTCAGCAATATTGATTATCTTTGCTAGACCAAAGTCCGTAACATGCGCCACCATGTCATCGTCTAAAAGAATGTTGCTTGGTTTAATATCACAGTGAACTATAGGCGGCACAATATGATGGTGAAGATATTCCAATGCCTCTGCCACATCAAGAGCAATATGCAGCCTTTTCATCAGATTTAGCCTTCTGTAGCTTGTGCTAATTGCTGCCGTGCTTGCATGCAGCCACTCATCTAAACTTCCATTACAAATGAATTCTAGGACAAGCGCCTTGAACTCATCACCATTTTGGTCTGATCCACTGCATATGGTGATCACCTTGACAAGTTTCCGATGTCGAATTCTCCTAAGAGCATCACACTCAGTCAAGAAACTTCTACTGGCTCCTCGTTGGCTAAGGTTAAGAACCTTGACTGCAATAGGTACTAGATTCTGATCAATAATCAAATTTCCAATGTAAACATTGCCAAAGCTTCCAGAACCAATCAAATTTGCCGGTGAGAATGACTCGGTTGCTGCTTGTAGTTCGGCATAAGATATCCTCTCATTCGTCTCATAAAGAAATAGGTTTTCATTATCAATGATATTCGGTTTCATCCTTGTCTTAATGAAGCAGTATGCAGTCATACAAAACAAAGAGAAAATCAAAGTTCCAACAATGCAAAAGATTAAGACATGTAGTCGATGCACTGAAGCCTGGTCTGAATCTTTAGATGGGCATGAAGGGAATTGCAAATCTGGAGGGCCGCCACATAGCATTGTATTACCTGAGAGTGACACTATAGTGCCATTACAAAAAATCCCTGTATTTGGAACAGGACCTGACAGTGCGTTGAAGGAGAGGTTTAGATTAGTTAGAAGCGTGAAATTCGCTAGAAATTCAGGTATGGGACCTGCCAAGTTGTTGTTAGAGAGATCAAGGATTTCAAGGCTCCTCAAATTGTTCAGATTTTCTGGTATTTGTCCCTGGAGAAGATTTCCTTTGAAATTTAGGAAACTCAATTGGACACAGCTGCCAATAGCTTTTGGGATTTCACCAGATAGCTTATTCATTGAGAGATCCATTTTGACAAGGCTGTTCAAGAGCCCAATCTGTCTTGGAATAGAGCCACTTAGAGCATTGTTGGAGAGGCTGAGAAGTTTGGTAAGGGAAGGTATTGTAAGTATTTCTTGTGGGATTTGGCCCATCAAGGCGTTACCGGAAAGATCCAAGTATTGAAGTTTTGTGAGATTGCCAAGGCTTGATGGAATGCTTCCATCCAGAAAATTATTTGACAAAGTGAGAGAGCTCAACTGTGAGGCATTGCCTAATGATTGTGGAATCTGCCCAGTGATTCTATTATGTGATACATAGATAGAATTGATTCTTGTAAGCCAGCCAATATCATGAGGTAAAGTTCCTGTGAAGAGATTATATGACAGGTTGAGAGATGTAAGTTTAAGCTTCCACAAATCTGCAGGTATGGTCCCAATTAATTGGTTGCCACTTAGGTCAATCCATGAGAGCTCTCCGCTCAGGTTTGCAATGTTAATTGGCATTGCACCAACAAGGTTGTTCTGGCCAACATCTAGCATTTGCAAGCTGCTACAATTGGTCAATGATGTAAAAAATTCCAAATCACTAGGCCGTGTGGCTTGGAGCACATTGTCTCCTAACGCAAAGAACTTCAGGTTACCATGGATGCCAATTTCCCTAGGAATCATGCCGTGATATTTGTTTCCACGAAGTTGCAAGGATTCGAGAGCAGATGCGTTTGAGAAGGTCGGTGGTATTATGCCCTCAAAATGGTTAGCAATAGTGCTAAAAATTTTTATCCTGGGAAGCTTAAAACCAATATCGAGTGGAAGTGATCCTGACAGTCTGTTGAAACCAAGATCCAAGAATCTAATGGAAGAAATATTGAAGATCGGTAGAGGAACATGGCCTTCCAACTGATTATCTTTGACATTAAAGTAAATAAGATTAGCCATTTTACCAAAAGATTCAGGGATGTTACCAGTGAAACGGTTCCCTTCAAGAACGAAGTGTGTCAATGATGTGAGGTTACCCATCCAGCTCAAATCTTTGCCATCAATGAAGTTCGTCTCTATGATAAACTTCACAAGTGTTGTGAGGTTGGAGAATGACTTGGGAACATTACCAGTAAGATTGTTGTGGCCGACATCGAAAATGGCAAGCTTTGATGACTGACCAAGATCATCAGGGATTGAACCTGACAGGTGGTTCGTGCTCAAGTTCAATGTACGAAGCTTTCGACAACCACCAAGGCTAGCTGGGATATCACCATCGAGGCTGTTGGCTGACAGATCAAGGACACGGAGGTGGGTCAGGTTGCCGAGCTGAGGGGAGATGGTGCCGACTAGGCCAGCGCCACTCAGACGGAGAGTGGTTACGCGACCTGGATGCCGGCGATTGTTGCAGGAAACACCAGTCCATTGGCAGATGACAGGTGCTGGCATGTTTGTACCATTGCCAGCGGTGTCCCAAGATGACATCACCTCTCTTGGGTCATCCCTTATGAGGGATTTGAATGACAAGAGTGCTGAGAGATCATCACCATTGATGGTCTGAGAGGTGACTGTTTGCAAGAGGAGGGCATGTGTGAGAAGAGAGAGCATGGTTTCCATGGCAGAGGAAGGAGGTTGAGAGGTTGCAATATGGTGATAACACTTGTTAACAAGAGTATGTCAGCATATAAGGTGTAGAAGAACGTAGGATGACTGCACTTCATTACATTTAGAAGAAATAAACAATTACAGAGAAGGGACCAAAACTCCAAAAGGTGACCCCTTCACACCAAAACCCACTCACACATCTCACCTGGCCGGCGCACGACCACAATATCCCTTGTGAAACGACTTTTGTGGTGATATTGTTTAATTTCACATGTTTTGTAACTTTTGTCTTGTTGATCAATTCATGCAATGGTTGTCAATGGAGATATAAACTACGTGATTCCCTCTTGTTGCATTGGCAAGCCAGAAATATTTCAGCACTCCTGAGAGCCACTATATTTGGAAGGTTCTGTTTTTTCTGCAAAATTAGTGATGCAACTTACATGTTTTCTTATTTAGTATTTATGACACCAACACACACTACCACCACTTTTACTGGCTGTGAAATGGATCCTTAATATAGTGGCTGTGAAATGGAGCCTTAATATCTCTCTTTCATTCTTATGCAAAGGAAACGTATAGTGGCTGCCAAATGCAGCCTTAATATATCTCCTTTACGTTAATTCAACAAATAATACAGAAATGTTTGTATTTTTCAAACTGTAAAATATTTGAAGTTAACAATTCAAAATGAACTTACTGTAGAGGCTTACATTTTCATGATGCTTAGGGGTTGTTTTTTTAAAATTATCAATCCGTATATATTTCAAATCTTTGTGATGGCTAATTAAGCAGAATTGACCCTGCAAATGATGTTTTGAAATAAGTAGATAACATTTTACTTTGAGAAGTATGGTCTCTATCAGGAATTAGTATTTGTGACAAAGACTATAGCATGCAAGACCAAACCTCGAACTGTTCAAGTGATGCTGAAATCTCGTACATGAAAACTAACAGTGTAAAAAAATTAGTCGTAAAGAGATAAGTTGTGTTGAATTCACTGTTCACCTGGCACAATCAACTCAATCAGAAAGTGACACATTTTGATAGTTCTATGTAAAATAGTTTGCCCACATGATTTTGCAAAACAATGGGTATTTAATATTGAGATAGTCAATTTTGAAGTTTACAGTTTCATCTGATTTGTTCAAAATATATGTTGATGCTTTGATCATTTACAATTTCGGTCTTCTGTTTGAGAAGACCGAACTTTCTTTAGACCATAAGGACCAGACCGAACTATTGGTCCAGACCGATTGCCCACCCCTAGTTAACAAGTTTACTTTCACTAACATCTGAACAAAAGAATCAGCAGCCTTTCTATTCACCGATTTCAAAAATACTGAAAATGGGAATATCCAATTCAGTTGTAGATTTGGAGGCAATTTTCCAATGTCGGCACAACATGACCAACATGTGAACTTTGTGATTGCACCATGCTATTATTTTGTCTTGCAAAACCTCTTTTCTAACTGTCCAAAAGATGGTCCAATATCAGATATGACATTTGACCTAACACCTATTCTAAACCACAGGGCTGTCTCCATAGCAGCCTGCATCATTTGGAACAGGAACACAAACAAACTGTTGCCTGGGAGCAGCAGTTTCATATGCTATTGTCTAGTGCGATGAAGTCACGATGCTTTTCAAAATTCGTGTTGTAACATTCGTGTTGTAACTTTGCTTCAAAAAAAAAAAATTCGTGTTGTAACATTTGTCATTTGTCATTTCCCCAGGGAATCCAAAGGTTAGACCGCATAACTTTCAGGTGATATTAGGGCCCTACAAGTTAGTGCTGTGCCGGCCATTGGAATATGATACTTGATGTAACGAAATGATCAATTATTGAGGCCTAACAATGTTCTTTACATTGATCCACGAGGAGTGTTGAAGTTGAGAAAGATGCTGACAAGATATCAACCAGACCCACTCAGCATCCTCATCCTCTCAACTGAACCTGGTTCTGCTGCAGTTTGCAGTGTATCTACAACTTTTAAGCTGCCACCTGTTTGTTGTTGTTGGATAAACCCCAAAACACTTCATTTTAGGAGTTTCATTTTCCCTTTGATTTCAGCACTTTTCGCCGTCGGCGCAGCGTGTTTATAGCAGTTCGTGTGCAACTTCTGTTTGCTATTCTAAATTAGAGGTAAAAAAAATCAAGAAAGTGTGTGGTTTTGGCTGCACAACCGTGTTCGATTTGTCCAATTTATCCTTCTTGATATGTGCTTTGTTTTTCCGTTTCCAGTCCATTGTCAGATTCTTGGTGCTCCTACTGCAAATCTGTTCATGGCAAGGCACAACTCCAACGGCTGTCAGATCCAAATCCAAGGGCTCACATGCTCTATGGTACTATAGAAATACTTAGGTTACTGTAACATCAGTATTGTGGCTATGTATCTAATACGTTCATCAGAAAAAAAAAACTGAAAAAGATGGATAAAACAGCATGGAGTCCTTCCCAATTGCCTCTCAAGCATATTCGCCAACAACGATCAACGTTTATCTTTGGGTTCAAACTAGAGATGTTGCTGAGTTGACGCATTGAACATTGACTTGCTTGTTAGTAATTTGGTAGACTTGTTGACTGCTTGATCTTTGATATCCTTTGACCTTTGATATGCATGCCATCTGTACTGTAACTCAGGAGAGTGAGAGAGGGGAGAATCGTAAGACATGACATATACTCCCTCCGTCCTAGAAAAAACTCAACCTCGTATTACGATGCGACACATTCTAGTACAACGAATTAGGACATACTCTATATCTAGATTCGACATCCTAGTACTATGTTGTCTTTTTTTTGGATGGAGGGAGTACTTAGTACATTCAGTACGTACTTGATTGAACTTATTGGTAATACTACAGGCGATTCAATCATTGATTACAGAAAAGCCTTCACTAGACATAACCTCGATTAAAAGGGGAAAACGACAGCTGACATGTTATCATCATGCAAATCATGGTGCGGCTCTCACGCGGTTGTTGTTTATGGTTGGACCCAAGCACCGTAGGAAGAGTGTGAAATGTACTAGCAAAAATTAAAAAATGCAATAGTATTGTGTAATGATATGTATATTTAATTTGTGCACGATGGTTTCTAATTTGTCATCATCGCTTCTCCAAAAAATATGCTCCTGGTTTTTCCCAAGTGAACTTTAGGTAGGCACCTCGGTACATTTCTAATTTTAGTGTTACTCCGTTAATGTTTTTTATCCATCCAATGTAATATACTATTCTTTATGACTCAACGTTTATTATCATGGACATCTTCTCAACAGTTTATTATCATGAACATCACCACCGGCACATTTGCTATCGGCATTACTTTCATCTTCGGCCAACTATTGTCAACAAAGTTATTTGCTTCATGAGTCTGGACTTCGTCAACGCTAAAATCCGACTGGATCACCAACATCATTATCTTCATCAGCAAAAGGAAACTGGAGCCATATCCGGCTATGTTTTCCTCTTTGTAACCTTGTCCGTCAACCTATATACATTAGCAAAAGATGGCAAGCGAGCCCTCCAAGGACATAAGCACGATCAGATCGTCAGATCAATATACATTCGGCGGATACAATCCCTTGAAATAAGTAGGGTATTACCTCTTATCTAGAGGGTCTGAACTTGTCTAAATCCATGTCTTCCGCATCCATTCACTTTTAGATCTCGTACGCTACCCCTTTTATTATTGACGGTTTACATAATCGATAGCTTACAAACTGAATTGAATTATTAAAATTTTGGCAAATAAACTCCTAATCAAAACAAAATGATAATGAACCTAATCTGAAATGCCAGTACACACCATCGTAAAGCGTCCGAGCCTTATCACTGCTCTTTTTTCTTCCCACGTCTGGTTGTAACCGATTCCCCACATAACATTAGACACATCTATCATCACCAAACTTTGAACATAAAATTAATCCATCTGTTCTACAGAGAAACCCTAGGAACCAGCACTACCTAGGAATCCTAGTTCACCCGCCACCATGGATGACCTCGCCGCAATCCGCTCACTTCCATCACGGACGACCTCTCATGGATCTGCCTGCTGGCCGTTATCGATAATCCATAGCTATCACCACCGACCAACTCCGCAACCTTCAACTGCCGAATTCAGTGTGCCCGAGGTCTCAAAGCCGCTGCACACACTGCGCGAGCCGCAAACCTTTTGACTTTTGTAGACACAGCCCACTTCGCCGTTGTCGATACCGCCTCGCCACATCCGTCTCCATGGTTGTCGTTGCTGCTAGATCTGTTGATCCTGAGCACCTAGGAAGCCAAATTCATCATGGAGACCATCAGGGAGGAATGGTGGCAGTTGCCAGAGTGGTGGGGGGACTACGAGGGGTGGAAGAGCGGGAGGGGGGGGGGAGCCAAGTTGTCTACCAATAGGGTGCCAATACACCATTATACATTTATAAAATGTTTATATAGCAACGAAAGATTTTTTACGATTGCATCCGCTCTTGTCCTACAATATAATGAATTTTATGGGAGGTAAACATGTCATCAAAAAGTGTATACATGCAAAATAACCAGAGACTTTGACCAAATAGAAAATTGGATGATCCAACCAACTAGCATACGGCCTGAAATTGCTAATTAGCGCGTACGCGCTATTAGCGCAAGTTGCGCGTGTTTCTAGCCCACGTGGCCCACGCCCTCACGAAGCCCATCTCTTTTCTCTTTTTCTTTTTTTCTCGCTTCTTTTTTTCCACCACGGGGAGACTGTGAAACGTTTTTTTTCCGTGATTTTTTATTTTAGAAATTGAATCTTTCATCTTTAATTTCTACTGAAAGTTTTGAATTTGAGTTGAAAGTTTTTAAGATTCGAGATGAAAATTTTTAAATCTGAGTTGAATGTTTTTGAATCTGAGATGAAAGTTTTTAAATCTGAGCTGAAAGTTTTCAAATCTTTAGTTGAAAGTTTTCAAATCATGACTTAAATAGTTGAAAGTTTTTAGGTTTTGAGATGAAAGTTTTTAAATTTGAGTTGAATGTTTTTGAATATGAGATGAAAGTTTTTAAATTCGAGTAGAAAGTTTTCAAATATTGACTT